ATGATTTGCGAATTATGAATGGAATGGAATGAATCAGTCATTGCTTATAAAATATGGGGCGTCCGACTGAAGCTGCAAGATTCTTTTGCCTTGCCTACGTGAAACAAAGGCGCTCCACATGGTTATGATACGTCTGAATATTTGCACGCGACACCGCAATAAAAGACCTCGTTCCGCGCGCAAGGTAGAGCGTTTGACGGTTTCATCCAATCGGTAGTCTATGAAAACAAACAAATGGGGGGAATATCAGCCTATATTAGAGCACTATATGGATCCCCTAGTAAACGAGCTCAACAACATGAACCCTTGAAAACAAGACCTCGCCGCAAAGATTTATTTTCAACAAACTGTTCAAGTCAGTATCACACCTAAACCTAAAAAGAACAGTGAAACACTTACTTCCAATCACCCCATTCACTGGAATATCAATCGAAGTTGTGTAGCTAGCAGCATCACTCAGCAGATACACATAAGCACCCCCCAGCTCCTGCACCTCCGCCAGCCGGGGAAATCCTCCATAATATTTGAGTTGCTGCTCCCAGTCGGGCTGCTGTGGTACCCAATATGTCATAGCAGTTTTTACCAAACCTGGCGAAACACTGTTGACCCGGATGCCATACTGAGCCCATTCCATGGCCAGCGTGTGAGTCATGTTTCGGACACCAGCCTTGGAAGCGCCATACGGAGTGGATGGAACGCGCTAGTACATCGTAAGTCATGACTTACCCCAGACTTTAAGTAACAACAAACCTTATTCGGTCGGTACGAAGCCATCGACGCAGTAAAGACAATCGACCCCTTGATATCAAGCTTAATAAAAGCACGCGCCGCAGCACGGGCACTATAGAATGCTCCGAAGAGGTTCACGTTGAAAAGAGTCTCAATCTCCTCCTTGGTGAAATCCAAAGCAGCCTTGTGGTGGGTGCGACCGGCATTGACTACCATACCGTGAAGCGCGCCAGCCTCTTCGATGATCTTGTCGATAGCTGCGGTGATGATGGCCTCCTCGGTTACATTTGCGTTAATGGCCCTGAGTTGCCCTGGGTAGCGCTTTTCTAGGGCGACGAAGTCCTCCCCTGTCTCGCCGATGTCGATCGAGTAGACTTTGGCGGCACCATTGGTGAGACAGCATTCTGCGATACCAAGGCCGATCCCACGATTGGCGCCGGTTACTGGGACAAATTAGATATTTGTGGCTGCTGTGTTCATTGACTACCTACTTGCAATAACCTTTCCACCGAGGCTGACCTGGGTCTGGACAGCGTTGGGCTGGGGTGTTTCGTTGAAGTCCGAGGAGGTCATCGTGATGATATCAATATGATTGATAGGATAGTGGTAATATCTTCAAATAACGATAATTTTACCTTGTATAAGGCATTTACTAGTCATTTTATAACATGTTTTGATCATCTGCTGGTACTTGATCACTCGAGTCGGGGAACTCCCGAGACGCGGAGAGGCGGGGAAGCGCGGGGATGCATTGCCTCGAGACGGGAACAACGATTGCATTGCATGACTTGAAAAGGTGCTCCGGTCACTATATTGCACAGGAAACGGTCTTATCCTTTGAGGGCTCATTTGTGAACAGTTCGCCGCAATGGCTTTACCAGCTTGCAATCTACTCAAGGGCAAAACAGCTGCTATCACCGGCGGCACCACAGGAATTGGGCGCGCGATCGCATTGGCATACATCACACAAGGCTGCAATGTCGCGGTCAACCATCTCGGCCTCCCCCAAGATGAATTGCATCGGCACACTCTACTCGATGAAGTCAAATCCATCCAACAGAGCGGAATCGCGGCTGGCAAGATCCTCGAGATCCCCGGCGATGTGACCGTCCCAGAAACCAGCATAAACCTCGTCAAAGAAGCTGTCTCTCAATGGGGCAAGCTGGACATTTTTGTGGCCAATGCTGGCGTATTCAAACAAGCTGAATTCCTCCAGTCAGACTATCATTCCAACCGTGAATTACAGAAGACTGACAGCTAACACATCCAGAATTGATCCATCTCTCCTCGATCACAGCATCGACGTCAACATCAAAGGCTGCTTCTATTCCTGTCAAGCAGCTGCGCGGCAGATGGTCAAGCAGGGCCACGGTGGCTCCATCATCGGTATCTCTTCCGTCAGCGCGCTGGTTGGTGGAGGCCTTCAGACTCACTATACCCCCACTAAAGCCGCTGTGCTTTCTATGATGCAGTCTATGGCTATTTCACTTGGCAAGAATCGTATCAGATGCAATGCTCTGATGCCAGGGACCATCGCGACTCAGCTGGCTGATCATGATATGAAGAACCCTTCTAAGAAGGCTGCGCTCGAGGCGCGTATTCCGTTGGGGCGGATTGGGAACCCGGACGATATGGCTGGCCCAGCTGTGTTCCTGGCTTGCGAGGAGATGAGTCGATATGTCAATGCCACGGGGTTGTTGGCGGATGGTGGGATGTTCAGTAATCTGCAATAGTTTGGTATGGAAATAGTATCCTGCATTTATTAGGTACTATCTCCTCGCTCATAAACTTTCATTACTGTCTGGTATATATTATAGGTAAATGCAGCCAGCTCTTGAATGTAGTAGTTGTAAGCTACCAAACATCACCACTTGTAAATGCTCGCAGAAAGGGATGGTGAATCATCGCTAGACTCAATCAATGCAGTCTAAAGTTCTGACTATATCATATTTCGATTCAACTGTGCCTCACGCCTTACCCGCAGACCCGCAAATCTCCATCCACTTTGCAGTCAAATCCGCCACTTTCTGGATCCCCTCCTCGATGAGCTGGGTATGTGGTATCTTCCCCACATTATCTCGAAGATGATCATAGTAACCATCCAACACAAGCCGGTTCACATTGATCTTGGCCACACCAGCCGCCACGCAGCGCTGTATCAGCTCAGGCGGGAACCCATTCGTACCATGAATCGCCAAACATACTCTCCCATTGACCTGACTGCGAATCTTCCCAAACCTGCCACTGTAAGTCAGCAACATGATTGTTCCAATCATCACGAGTAACTGCCAAACTCACCGCTCAAAATCCAACTGCGGGCCACGGGGACCATATTCGCCATGGACATTGCCAATAGCCGGAGCAAGCACATCCACGCCCGTGTCAATAAACTCATCCACCTCTTCAGCAGTGGTCATACAGGCCTCCAGCCCTGCCGTATCCATGACCCCGTCTTCACCTCCTTCAATACGCCCCGGCTCAGCTTCGGTGACTTTCTGGCGCTCATTGCAGTATCGCACCAGTTCGCGAGTCTTTTGCAGATTGACCTCCTTCTCATGATGTGACATGTCCACCATGATACTGTCAAATGGCAAATCCGCCGCCTGCTTGATGATGTCTTCCGACTGCGCATGGTCGAGGTGGATGCTGATAGGCACGGTCGCACGACTGACCGCATCTGCAGCGGTACGCACGATCAAGCCATCAGTTGCTTTGACAGCCCATGGGAAGAATTGTATGATGAGAGGCGAGCGCGCTGTTTCGGCTGCTCGGATGTATCCCAGGATTTGTTCGAGGTTATAAGCGATGACAGCGATGACGCCGTATCCGCCCGCGTGAGCATTGCGCAGAATGCGCCTGTGGCGGTTTTCTTCTTTCCAGGACATCGTTGCGAGGAGCATTCAATTATTTAGACGGGTAAGTTGTCATACCATGGATGCTTGTGTTGATCGACGGTCTTATACTCTTCGGAGATGAACTCCTGGTGGGGCGGGGATGGCCTCGAGACGAGGACCGGAGTTACCCCGACTCCCCAGTTTCTCTCCCCATCTTTCCCCTCCACTGTTCTGTTCGCCACTTTTTATACTCACTGAACACTGACTATAATTCTTGTTCTGATCACCTACACAATAGCGTACTATCTTCAAAACTCAATCAGCGTGACGAAATATCTCACAATGACTGACAGTGAAATAACAGGGTTCCAATCCCACCACAAAGACTTCGACGCAATCACCGGCCCAACCCCCACCCTCGAACTATTAGCAGAACACCGCAACTACCCCTTTGCACACGAAGCCGGAATCTACATCCCCGAGACGAACAACCTCTGGATCACCAGCAACCAATGCGTCGCTCTTAATGGCAGCAAAACCGAGCAGAAAGTCTACATCACCCGCGTTGACCTGAACACCAACCCCATCACCTACGAGGAAATCCCCACCGAGATCCCTATGGGAAATGGCGGCATCAACTACGGCAGAGATCATATTCTCTTCTGCGGGCAGGGGTCCATGACCCAGCCCAGTGGGTTGTATCAGATGTCCATCACTGCTCCGTACGCAACGGAACTGCTCAAGGGGGACTTCTTCGGTCGGCCGTTCAACTCGGTCAATGACGTGGTCGTACATACTGATGGCTCTATTTGGTTTACGGATCCTATATATGGCTACAGGCAGGGATATCGTCCGGAACCGTGTTTACCGTGTCAGGTGTATCGGTGGTGTCCGCGCGAAGGGACTACTCGCGCTATGGCTGATGGGTTTGGGATGCCGAATGGAATTTGTTTCTCCCCAGATGAGAAGACGGTTTATATCACAGATACGGACCGACTGCATGGGGATGGTACGGTGTTTGATCATCGGGTATCTTCAATGTATGTGAAACATATCATTATTGTATTGTCATTGGGGAGTCCACTGATTAGGGTTGTGTAGCTATGCCTTCGACGTGTCCACGATACATGGAGAGCCGTTCCTCACCAACCGTCGACTCTTCGCCATGGCCGATCATGGCATTCCCGATGGGATCAAGTGCGATCTGAATGGAAATGTGTATAGTGGTTGCGGTGATGGTATCCACGTCTGGTCGCCCGGAGGAGTTCTCCTCGGTCGCATTCTCATCGATGGTGGGGTAGCCAACTTCTGCTTTGGCAGAAACGGAGAGATATTTGCGCTGAATGAGCACCGTTTATGGAGGGTCCAGCTTGGGGCTGGGATCAAGGGGGCATTACTTGGTCTGTAGACTGGATAAGTAACTAGTGATCAACCATGTTATGAGGCTGCACCGGCCCGGATAAACTGTTTCCCACCAGCAGCGGCTTTAGCATCCTGGCTTTCCCAAAGCCCCTGTAGCTCCACTCCCAATGATCTAACCGGCCAGCCAGTTCTTGCTCGACAAGATTCTAGCAGCTCGAGGATATCGTCCCGAGCACGCTTCTCCTGAGTAAAGATTCCTGCTGCGATGAGTCAGTCACGTGAAAGACACTCAGCGCTCTCCGCTCATGTCACCCTCCCCGCCTACTTGAAATGGCAAGGCTTGCTTTTAGGACATGCAGAAACCCTGCCGCCTTGCTCATGATTCAAGGCATGATAGCAGTAGTGGATATAAAAGTGGCAGGCGGTAGGGCTTCTTCTGGTCTTCTGAGCGAGCCTTACCTGTCCAATCAAGGCGGAGAGCTTGCCCGATATGGCGGTAGCGCCTCCCTATCACATACCGATAAATACAGCCTGAGATGACATCAAGCTAGACGCATTATCTTTTAAGGTCACAGCAATCCCACAAATATCCTCCACATAGTACTTGATGGCGCTTTGGCGTTCAAGGTACTGGTCCAGTCCTCCCATGCTGGGCTCATGTGCCAATAGAAGTAAACACGACGCGCTGAAGAACTGAACTGCCAGTCCTAGAAAACAAATCAGTCAGTGTACCTCGTTAGCCCAACGTCTATTTCTGGGATTGAACATACCAAAAGCAGCAGGACGAATCCAAAGCGGCCGAAAGTACGACGAATACTCGCTTGCACCTAGTGGTAGGGGCGAGAACTCCACGGTTCGGTGCTGTCGCCAATTCTCAAGCATGGCACGAAGCCGGTTAGCATCGTCAGCTCGACGTTGTCTGTTCTCCTCGGTCGTGGTCTCTGCGCAATAACTAATCACCTTTGCAGTAATATAAATAGCACGCATAGCAAGCTCGTGCGGCAACAGCGCAGAGAGGGGTTTCTGCGGAACCCAAAATGTCAATGTTTTCCGTTTTTCGCGGAATGCAGCCCAGATGTCCTGGCAGAGCCAGGCCCACCATACAGCGGAGTGTAGGCCGCCAGACTCGCCGTGGATTGTCTGGGACCTTTGTATGAGGAAGACGCCTTCGAGGTGCCGTTCCCAGTCGTTGGTGGAGTTGTCGAGCATTTCGTAGGCGGAGATGATCAGTGCTGTTGCAAGGAGTTCTAGGCTAGTCTTGTAGCTGGAGAATTGCATGGCTCGTTGGACATAGTGCAGTGTTTGGTAGTAGTATTGTAGAGCCGCAGCTTCTTTGTTCGGCATGTTTACTTGATCCAGGCGAGGATTCAGTGCTAGGTGCCGGAATGCGAGGGCGAGAATGGCATTCATGAGTCCAGCATTATGTATCTTGACGGATTGTCAGTCTGCTGCTATATCATTCCGACGGATAGCAATGAGTGGCTTACGGCCAAGTGCGCGACCAATGTGGAAAACTGACTGGTAGGATCGAAGAGATCGAGCTGTTAGAAAATATTAGGCTATCTCGTTAATCTTTGGAACAGAAATATGAGTATGCTAACCCAAGGGCACACTTGATTTATAAAGTATTCGAACAAGACATGTTCGTTAGGCAGGAGCTCAATTGCCTCCCGTGACTGCCAGATTATTTCCTCCTCTACCGCGCTACCATCTTGGGGACCTGTTAGGCCATTGCTCGCGCTGGAGTCAAGGGTACTATCAAGCACCTGTGTCGCATATTGCAGCGAATAGGGCTGGCTCAGACCATCGATTTCCAGGTGATTGACAGGCTGGTTGTGAGTGCCAGAGTTATTCACAGAGGGCAGCTGCGGGCTGTCCCTTGCAGCATCACTCGCCAAGAGCCCAAACCATCTCACTGCGGCGAAAGACGCGTTCGAGGGAGAGGGATAGTTATGTTGAAAGGCGATGGGGCTCTGACCGGAAGGCAAGTCGCCCCCTGTTAGGTGATTCAGGACCGCTAACGAAGGAGGATTGGTCTCTGCATCTGAGCAGCTCCACGCCAGAACAGGTGGCTCATGTCGTTCGTAGGATGTTATTTCTGTGGAGACGTCATGCAATACATGAGCGCTGGCTTGTTTCGGAGATGCTGTTGGATCTTGATCTGACACCGGAACAGCAGCGGCAATGGTCCGGTCGGAGGCTGAGCTGTCATTATTGCGACGGCCTGATGCGGGATATTCACAGGTCTTGTCCTTTTTGACGCAAGGACCACATATCGGCTTGACTTCATCGCACTTCAGATGTCGCTTACGACATGTTATGCTGTATTCATTATATTAAACCGTGTAACGCGTCTTCGGCACGGGTCACTCACCAGCCATTCTTAGTCCGCAACCCGCGGCCGCGAGACTTGCGTGTGCGTGGCCGCCTACAGGGCGATTGAGAAGCCATGACCGGGATACCATACGGCCATGCACTGCAACTACCATCGAGTTGATAATCTGTATCCATTTCCGCTCATCCAGAGAACAGTGTCCCCGAGACGGGGACACATGCTGAATGTCGATCTATTCCATTCTCATTCCTTGCTGATTCCACGTGATCCCCCGCATTACCCCGCGCCTTATGGGATCGACAAAACCATCACTGTATACTTCCCAGTGCTACTATGGCATTGAAGATGCTTTTTGATATCAGTTGTATGATAGTAATAATGTTGTATGTTATTGACACAGTGGTTACCTCGGATTGCCGCATACCCGGATGAAAGTAAGGAGAGGATGAAAGGATATATTATGGCCGTAACCTTCAAGCCGGCACGTGTAAGAAAATGATGAATTTTCATAAAATTATAACCATCATGTTCAATCTCAAGACCCCGTATTTCGGTCTTCGAGGGGGGTGGGTAACCTTTTGGATCACTCTAGCCTGTGGTGCTGACATGACCCTGTATGGCTATGATCAGGTCAGTTACTATAGTACAAAGTTCTCTAGTGCACGGCTGATCCTGATATAGGGTGTTTTCAGCGGAGTCGTGATATCCCAAGATTTTTTGCAACTACACAATCTTGAAGGTCCTTCTAAGACCAGTCTTCTTGGCACTGTCACTGCGATTTACGATGTTGGCTGCTTTCTCGGATCTATCTGTGCATACTGGCTTGGTGAGCGGTTAGGGCGCCGAAAGACGGTTCTCGTTGGGACTACTGTGATGGCAATTGGTGCCCTTTTGCAAGCTTCCTCATACAGTGTGGGCCAAATGATGGCAGGCCGAGTCATTGCGGGAATTGGAAATGGTATCTCCTCTCCAGTATTTCCTGGAGTATAGACACTAACCATGACACCACCCAGGTCTGAACACATCGACTGCACCCATTTGGCAGGTTGAAACATCGAATGTGCATTGGCGGGGAAAATTGGTTATCCTAGAGAATGTCCTTGTCCTTGTTGGGTTTTCACTTGCCAATTGGCTCAACTACGGACTCTCGTTCGCCAGTGGCCCTGTGTCCTGGCGCTTCCCCCTGTCGTTCCAGTTCATCTTCATAATCATACTCGCTCTCACAGTTCCATGGTTACCTGAGTCCCCAAGGTATGTAAACTGTCAGTTGTAACAGATCGTACTGACATTCCCAGGTGGCTTATTGCCCACGGCCAAGAAGAAGCAGCTGTACAGATCATCGCAGATCTTGAGAACAAAGCCACCAACGATCCCTTCGTTCAATTCCAAACCAGTGAGATTCAATACAGTGTGGAATATGAGCGAGCAAACAGCGTCAGCTTCAGTGAAATACTGCGCGGACGCGCCCATGAACGGTCAGGCACCAAGACCATCCGCAGACTTATCCTCGGCATGGGAGCTCAAGCGATGCAACAGTTCTCAGGAATCAATGTGACTTCCTACTACCTACCTACAGTACTGACTAAATCAGTTGGTATGAGTGAGTCGTTAGCAAGACTCTTGACAGCATGTAATAGCGTTCAGTATTTATGCTTTTCAATGATCGGTATACCGAATGTTGAACGTTTGGGCCGTCGAGCCCTGTTGATGTTTGGTGCCACGGGCCAGTGTCTCTGCTACACCTTCATCACAGCTCTCATTCGGTATAATGAGATGCCTGGCTACCTACATCAATATGAAGTGGCGTCTGCCTCAGTTGCCTTCTTCTTCTTGTATTATGTATTCTTTGGAATCGGCATGCAAGGCGTGCCATGGTGTATGTCTGAGACCTTTCTTTTGATATGTGCTCACGCGGTACGCTAATAAAATTTCTAGTGTACCCAACGGAGATCAACTCCCTTACGATGCGAACCAAGGGCGCCGCACTCGGAGCAGCTACAAACTGGATTTTCAATTTCATGGTCGTCGAGATAACCCCAATCGGTATACAGAACCTTAGATGGCGATTCTATACGATTTGGATCGCGTTGAACGCAGCGATGGTTCCTGTCATTTATGTCTTCTATCCGGAGACAGCAGGACGTACGTTGGAGGACATGGATGACTACTATCGTGGGAATCCACCACTTTTCGTCTGCTTCGATAGGGAAGCAATTTCGCGCAAACGTCCTGCGAGATACCAAGTTCGAGATGAGCATGTTATTCGGGCTAAGGAAGGTGATATGGTAGAATCAGCGCAGCATGTGGAGAATGCGACCACGGTGATGGCTTAAATGTAGGCCTTGAGTTGATAAGAACGCAACGACTATCTTCGAAAAGGAGAACTTTGCCCTCTGACGTCAAATGCTGGGTCACGTCTTCGTGATTTATCTAGCTGGCTTTATATAGTACTCCTCTTGCTCTCATTTTCTATTATTTCGTTGTGGGGTAGGACACTAGTGAATGGATATGAGCATTTCTCCATGTTATCTCATCAGTTTCGATCCCCAAGTAGCTCATCCAGCCGCCGTATGCTTTCTTCTCTGACTCATCCCTTCTGCATAGCAAACCCATTAATAATAATTCCACAAGTAAAGAATTTCATCCCTCTATTAATATAGCTTCGGGACATTGGCAGGATTATGAGATTTTTGCTATGCTGGGGTGTGGCAAGACTGATCGACAAGCCCCCGTCTCGGGGGCTACCCAACAGTTCAAGGCCCCTGCCTATCCATCCTCCACTAAACACAAGTGACACTACACTACCATTGGATTACCAAGCGTTCAGAGCCCCTGGCTTGTTGTGAAGATTCCATCCTGCTTTATCTTGCCCATGCGTTTCTACAGTTCACTACCCTCGCCTCCATACGCTCACATTCTCTGACGAGATATAACAGCCACCTCCGAATGCAGACATATGCGCCGATGATTATTCCTCAATAATAGATATTCAACCTACTGCCCACATTTACCCAATAATCTCGTATGAACTCTATGGATACCTTCGAGCTACCCCGCTCCATGAGGGCACTAGGTGCGGGTCGCATTCTCTTGACTGGCCAACAAGCAAAACGGCTGATATGACGGTCGGAAATGTAGAGTATAGCCAAGCTCGAAAATTCAGCATTGTTGAAAAGGAGCTTCCTAGCATACGTGCTCACGATATCCTCGTATGTCCTAAAACCATCAGGGATCATACACAATGGCTCATACTATTCCAGATCAAAGTGAAAGCCTGCGGTGTCTGTGGTACCGACCTGCATATCCATGAGGGTGAATTCGGAGCCCAAGTAGGAACACATCTATGACTGACCAAGAACCGAAACTGATTAACCCAAGTTCCCCCTAGTACCTGGCCATGAAACCGTCGGCATTGTCGCAGCATTCGGCACCGACGTCGTTGACTTCACAGTAGGGGATCGCGTGGTAGCCGACAACTCGGAACTATGCGGACACTGTCACTATTGCCGCCGAGGCAAAGAGCTCTTCTGCGAGAACTTTATCGCCCATGGCGTGATGGTCGATGGCGGATTTGCCGAATACGCCGCCTACCCTGCGCATCGCGTATTCAAGATCAAGAACCTGTCAGACGCCGATGCCACCTTATTGGAGCCTGCAGCCTGTGCGGCACACGGGCTGGATAAGATATCCCCACAAATGGGATCCAGTGTTCTTCTGTTCGGCGCCGGTCCGACAGGACTAGTGCTAGCTCAACTGCTTCGCCAAAATGGTGGCTGTCGTACTGTTATTGCTGCACCGGCCGGATTGAAGATGGAGCTGGCCAAGTCTCTTGATGCTGCGGATGAGTTTGTCGAGCTGCCAAGGGAAGAAGAAGACGCCGCGGCTGCTAGGTTGGAGCAGCTACGAAGGGAATATCCGTACGGCTTTGATATCGTTGTGGAGGCGACGGGTAGTGAAAGGGTTCTGGAGAACGCCCTACACTTTGTCACCAAAGGTGGAAAGTTGGTAGTGTATGGGGTTTACAATGATGAGAGCCGCATCTCGCTGTCACCGAATAAGATCTTCAAGGAGGAGATCCATGTCCTGGGTTCTTTCAGTCAGACGTACAAATTTCCAGCTGCCATCGATTATCTTGGTGAGTTTTGTGCAGTGGGGGGGTACAGGGAATCAGTGGCTAATGAAGATCCGCATACACAGATCGTGGAAGAGTTAATGTGTCTGGAATTGTCAACAAGACATTCAAATTGGATGAGTGGGAGATGTGCCTTGATGCGATGAGGCGAAAGTCAGTTGTCAAGGCTGCTATTGTCTTTTAGGTACCACTCAATACAGTTGGTTACAAGCCCAGTGATGTGTACATACGCTAGCCTCATTCAATTGGTTGTTTTACGATGACAGGCAACTCTATCGAGACAGAGAGCACTAAAATCCTTCCATGATCCGAGTAAGTCTGGAAGTCCTAGCCACACCCCCATCATCATCAGGCTATTGTTACTTCAATATCCGGTCGCGTAAATTGCGGCTCTTAAATAAATTTGGTGCTTGGTGAAATCTGGTGCTCGGTGGTGGAATTGGTAGCTAAAAACGCGACAGCAGCACGGAGATCCCAACCAATGCGCTATGCTTAGGGGCTGCAATACAGACAAAGGAATCATGAGTCCGTGGGGCCAAGAAGTGGGCACTTTGTATCACGCCAAAAACTCATTGGTTGATGCGTCTAGCCTTTCGTTCAGCCCCATTTCAAGCTTCATTTGCCCAACCCGACGAAGAAGGCCCATGCGCCCCTTTATTACCTCGGGCTGTGAATACTCACCAACCAAATACACACAGTGTCGTGAGCCCTCATTATATTTAGGCAGCCAGAACAAGGATAAGTGGCCAATGGGTGGTTTGATTTTCCCACAGTCTGTAGTGGATACACTAAAAGGATGGTGGCAGAGACAAGTATAAAGAAACTCGGTTCTCGCCTCCCATAGATCTTTACACTCTATTCTCTTGGTGTCAGTCATATCTTGTTACGATTCCCAAATCTTTCCGACTATGGAAACATTGCGCGGCGCTGTTTATAGCTTCCCCGTGCCCCAACCACGCATCCGGACCAAACCACTGCAGGTGATCTGCGTAGGCCTACCACGATCCGGAACAGAGAGTCTCAGCCGCGCGCTCACCCAACTCGGCTTCAAAACCTATCACGGCTGGGACATTGTCTTCGACGACCCGCCATATGCCCAGGGCTGGGCGCACCTAGCAGAGCGGAAGTATTCGGGCGTGCAAGGGCCAGGCGACGCCCCGATCACTCGCGATGAGTTCGATTGCCTGCTGGGGCATTGCGATGCAGTGGTGGACACAGCAGCCGCCATGTTCAGCGTGGAAATGATCCAGGCGTATCCTGAGGCTAAGGTGATATTGAATACGCGGCGGGACGTGGATGCCTGGCATCGCAGCGCCATGAACACCTTGGTCGCAGAGGGTGAAAACCAGTGGATGGTCTGGTTTCTGCGCATTTTCACGGCGGATGCGTACTGGCTTTGGAGGCTGTACTACACGATCGGATATCCCGCCATGTTTCATGGGCGGACAACCAAGGAGGGGCTGATGAAACATGGGAAAAGGGTGTATCAGGAACATGGGTTGATGATTCGAGGGCTTGTGCCGAAGGAGAGACTGTTGGAGTGGGATGTTGAAGATGGATGGGGTCCTTTGTGTGAGGTAAGGCAAGCCTTGAGTGATAAGTCAATGATTTGGTAGAGTGTGTCAATTAATGTGGTTGGCTACAGTTTCTGGGTAAAGATATCCCTGATGAGCCGTTCCCGAACACCAATAACCCAGCAGCTTTTCGGAAGCACATCCAAAGTATAGTGCAGCCGAGAGTTAAACGAGGACTATTTAATTTTGCATGCTGTGCCACTTCGGTGGGAGTGTTGGTGACTGCTATTATGTTGGGGGTGAAGAAGAGACAAGCATGGCAAAGTCTGATCTTGGAGGTCCCGATGGTTATGAGGCAATGCTTGGAGTCATTGTCATTTTCGAAGTAGTTAATTTTGAGGGCAGATGCGGGTAAAAATAGCTTCTTTGGGGACTGCTGAGCGAGAAAAAGATTGAATGGAAAAAAATAGAATCCCCCGAACCAGAATCGAACTGGTGATTTTTCGGTTACAATAATACCCATTACAGCCGAACGCCATAACCAACTAGACCATCGGGGGTTGCTATGGAAGAACCTCCCTGTTTTGGTTTTATATTCCAATCGTTCAACCTATAGCAAATTGGCAGTATCTAGTCATGTCGTTCACCTGCCCCACTAGTTATAACTACAAAGCTGAATATCCGTGAGCCATTCAAGATACAGGTTCAATATTCCCAATTACTGCTGTCGGCTTCCAAGTAGGTAATGCAATATAGGTTGTCGCGTTGAGGACCTGCTGACCCTTCAATCCTCAGCTACTGCAATATATATATTCGATCCCGGTCGGATTAAAAAGGCGATGTTACTAGAGCAGCACCGTGATGTGACTGACTGTGCTATGAAATATGTCAGCTGGTATTAGTAGTAATATTGTAGAACATCCATACAACTACTTAGTACTCCAAAGCCTTAAATTAGACACAAGCGAGCCAGGTAGAGACACTGTTCTAGAGGTAAAGGAAAGATGGCTCGTACTCAAAAGACCCCAGGCCGGCTAAAAAAATAAAGGTCAGACTATCATTGCTGCCCCGAACATAGAAGTACTGATCGACAATCACAAGTAACGGCTCTCTCTTGTAAACACGTGTTTTCTTCCCTTCACTTTTTTGTCGTTGCAAAGCTATAACTTACAAGCCCGATCAAAATATCATCCATCTCCGACACATCAACAGCTAACCCAGAATCCTAACTCCGTCGAATCCCATTCTGCACCAACGGCTTCATGCTAGAAAAGGCATATCTAGCAATAAGCCACTTCCTATGCTCCCTCCTCAAGATGAACAATTCCTGATTCGCATGTGGCTCAGACTCCTGGGTGGCAAGTATCGTTTTCGTTCCCTCAGCCGTCGTCCTGGCAAAAGCCCACTCCGGAGACATAACAACGATCTCTTCGATCTGGAAGGTGATAACGAGCTGAATGGTTGCAAAAATGCGTGTGTATGAGTCGCGTAGAGCCTCAGTGCCTGTACTGGCCGAAAAGTGCGGCGGCATGATGACCCCGTCTTCCGTGTAAAGAGCGACTGCTTCGTCCACATTCCGGCTTTTCAGAGCTTTGCCGTAGGCGTGGAGGAGAGCAGAAATTTCGTCGGTGTCGATGGGAGACACTGCAATCGAGTCCAAGACCTTGCCGTAGAAAGGATTTATACTAATCGTGGGAGCACCTACTGATGAGTTGCTGATTCCTGGAGTTTGAAAGAAGGCTACTGGTATCCAGCCAGCTTCACTGACTGAGTATCTAGCCTTCCTTATATGTGGCCTTCCTGTCCAGGAACGGGTACCCCCACTTTGATAGGTGGGGGTTTGGCATCTCATAAGGTACAAATTGGAGGCTTTTTGGAAGAGTCGTAGCCATCTGGACAATTTTGTATAGCAGGTACTGTGCTGAACATGGCACAATCCATGGCTGGCGGTGCTTGGAAATGGGAGGATGGGGTCAAGCTACGCAGTATCTCCGACCGGGAAGCTACGGGAGTACATGCCGTGATGTTTTCGATATATGCGGTGTAGATTTACGTTTCAAAGTGTCCATCAAAAATCTATGATACTGCGGTAGGATATAGCTGGTATGACTCAATGACTTCGATTCTGAGATTAGACGGGGCGTTCTGGCGATTTAGGGGGTGTATGGCAAATCTAACTGCTGCGCGCATTGTCACTATACCTCACCAACAAAACCGGAATGCTGCCTCAAGAGCAAATGTTCAAGTACGCCATAAGGTTGGGGGACACAGATGCCGTACGGTAAGAAATTCGGAGTTGGAAGCATAACCTCAGAGGAACGTCCCACATGATACCAAGAGTGGGGTGCCTTTTTCTTGTTGGCCAGAGTTAGCGGGAACCCATGAAAAGACCTAAAAGGCCAGGACTAAGAAACCCACGAGCACCCATTCTTTCCGCAGAGATGCACCACTCCTAAGCTTCATCGCACGCTGCTTGGGCACCAATATCACGCGCACCGGTTAACAGGGTTTATTGCCTAATGTTAGCAAACAAAGCGTCAGATGTCAATATTATTGTACAACCCGCAAAAAGCCACATCCGGTAGATCTGCAACTTCAATGGTGAAAAGAAAGTACTGCATTTTTCGCGGGTCGATCAAGACTTCCCCGGTTTGCTGACCAGCTAAATGGATCACGAGCCAAGCCCGGGCTTCACCATCAACCTCAGTGCATGGTTTCGGACTATGAGCGATGGGCACAGACAGGAACCTTACGAGTAGCCCCCGGAATCACTCCCCAGGCCCACCGGCTTTCGGCTTTGGCCTTTGGCGACCGATGGTGCAAATTCTAAACCTTCTTTTCTACGAAACTCCGAAGAGCAGAAGCAAACAACTTGTGTACACTACTCTCGTACATATCCGTCCCGGTAATACTTTTAGTTTCCAAGTTTAAACGGTTCACTATGTGCGAAGTAGCTAGGCCTTCCACCCTTCACCCGGGCTTATTCCCCGGCGTTTGCAGCCAATCAGTAGAGTGAAATATCACGGCACAGATTACTCTTCTCTAGTTTCCACATCTTGAAATTCGGTAGTATAAGGAGTAATAGATCGTCAACTTCAACCTCCAGGAAAAGAGATAGCCCCAGTCCTTCACATACCCGCCGACTGTTCTCCATAGCATGGCTCATTAGTTTTCAGAGGCGATGAAGTATCTTCCCACAAGGTTTGCGCAAATTAAGTTATATTTTACCGACACGAGAGCTGAAATTTCACCAAATCTTGATGGAGGATGTGGCTATGCGAGTTGACTATCTTCCCGTGTCTCAAGTTACGCGACGTCGCACAAGAAGCCAACCAGTAGGTATGTAATGAAAACACACCTCTTACGGATCCCCGTCTGGCGGGGTAGGATGATATGTCAACTTCTTCTCATCAGGAACTTTGGTAATAGATGGCCCGATGACTGAAAGGACTAAATTGTCCGGGAACATGCTCTCCATAGGTCAAAGGACAGTAGCCAATTCACTACCCCACCCAAATTGTCTTTTCACTCAACACCTCTGCGTTTTGTAGCAACATATTGGTATCCCTTCTCTCGACCAATTCCCTTGCGGTCACAATTTCTCTCCGTTTAGTATTGCGTTTAGTATTGCGTTCAGGGTGGTGTTGTAAGATACTGACACTTGGCTGCCTTCATACGGAGAGCCTAGACTCCATTTGCTGGCTTTTTCTTTCATTTGCTGTTCCTTTTTTCTTTTTTTTTTTTGCATGAGCCCTATTACCGTGTTGTGGAGTTTATTGCTTTGTGCTGCTTCAAACCTACTCAATCCATAGCAGACCGTCATAGATACAGTATCACATCGTTGCGGATGGCTTCATCACAGCCAAGGGATATGTATCGAAACTGTAGAATGCACTGACTAGTTTATCATTGGATCTAGCAAAACCCCTTTAGGAAAAGAACAGCAGCGGAAAGAAAACGAAAGAAAAAGAACAGACAGTCTGCGTTTGAGAATGGAAATGAAAATATGACCGAAAGGCAATCATTAACAGGCACATAAGCCATTCAGACGTAGGAAAATAGAGTAAAAATAGAGAGAAACGTGATAGAAAGGCCAATCAGTGAAACGTGAGCTTAACCGGCAGCTTCATCTCCTCTCCGACCAAACAACCATCTGGCCTGAGCGCCCTAACATAAAGCGCACTCCTGCTAACATCGCATTCGAACTCCAACGTGAACTTGATGGAATACTCGGTCCTCCCATGGTCATCTTCCCGATGCCAGAATTGAGCCAAATTCAACTTTGAGAGATCAAGTACGAACATTCCAAGTATTTCCACACCTAGGCTATCAATCAACAAGGGGTCAGCTTTTCGTTAAGCCAGATCAACTTACCATCGGAAAAAGAAATTGGGCTGCAAGTTCCGTTATACCCACACACGGAAATCAGGACTGATTCGGGATCTGTTGCCTTGTATATATGGCGTAATTGCACCTGTGTGGTGTGACCAGTCGCGTATCGGTGCCCCTAAGGTCGATTGACTGTTAGTGTAATGTATTCGAACCTAAGGTAGAGATGTGAGGAAGATAAGTCGTACTTTGTGTAGCACCCAGTTGATTGTATTGTCACCCGGTTTAGCGACGCCATAGTGTCGAGGGCATTCGACCAAAAGAGGGGTGTTCTGGGTGGCATACCAGACGCCTCCTCTTGCGACGGCCATTTCTCTTCCAGGAGTCAGCTTAACCATCCATGTCGCAGAATCAAGGTCTCTAGGTGAACACACGGGTTTGGACTAAAAATCACAGAAATGTGTTCTGCGACAAGGAGTTTCCGAAAGTATTTCTGGACCCAAGGAAGATTCACCCCCCCCCCCCCGCGAATACCACGTACTGGGATGGATATATGTCAGTCAGTTATTCTCTTTCCAGAGCCCAATTCCTAATCACCTGGACACCGCCCGCAGCGTTGTACATGTCTCGGATAAATTCTAGTATCTCTTTCAGGACAGGGTTGAAAACGGCCCTCCAGTCATCCATTGAGATGATGATTTCGCTGTAGTCAACGTCATAATGTAGCGGATTAGGGTCGACGATACCCAAGGGCAGTCGAATTCGAAATTGTTCCCCATTTCCGTCGCCGTCAGTGATGTCTCTCTTGTAACGTGCGAACTCTCTCATCAGTCGACTGGACGGCCCAGTTCGATTAGAAGGAAGGGTGGCAATTCCGGATCAAATCGATCGGTTAGAAGAGAAGAGAAGTTTCTATCGATGTTGGTCCCCCCAATATTGCGACCTAGTACGCATTAGTACACGTGGCGGTAAGTTAGGAGAACCAGACAATACTTTGGGGGGCCGACAACTGTTGTAGTTGCAAGCCATTCTGAACTTGGAGTGCCATATACGAGCTCACATCCTTTGAGACTGAATTGTTAGCTATTGGAAAAATTGAAATTCGAGCGGGAGAAAGTGGGGGAGGGGGAGATGGATGGGCACTCTTACGGAGGTTCCGCCTCCAAGATCAACTATCATGACCTTTTCACCTGCCTTTTTGTCCCACCACTTATTAGTCATATTGGACATATCTTAAATGTTTGGATGCCAGTGGCACTCACCTTTATGTCCTTGAGGAGGCCTTGCTCAAACACGTATCCCGCCGCAGCTTCAGGCTCCGTGAGAAGGTTGATATCACCCTCAATAAACCCAGCATCCTTCGCAGCAGCAACCATCGCGAGCTGGGCCCCTCTCGAGAATGAGGCTGGAACAGTGAGGATATACTCAACCTCTGTATTCCCAACAGACTTGAAAGGCTCCTGAGACCAAATATGGTCATGAAGCCGTCGTAGATAGTCACGGACGACGGAGTCTGCCTGCTTCCCTCCAGGAACGTGAAAGACATCATCTCCAAGGCCACCCTGACCAAGTTCAAGTCCATTTGCGTTGGCCTCCAAGACAAGTTTAGTCCATGAGCAGGATATCATGTCTTCCGACACCTCAAAACCCCAACTATCACGGTCCACATTGTTTTCAGCCCCGTAGGCAAACTTTGATGGTACTTTACCGCTCCTCTCAGTCGGGTTGCAGTGACCTGGCCAATGGCTCACTATCTGTGTGTTTTGGGGAATCTCCGGGTCATGGGAATTGACGAATCGGTATCCGACGGCTAACGTAACTCCCGGCCGCGCCGGCCACCCGCCCGCACCGGCCACCCACCTACTACACACCCAACGCGTTCCTACATACAAACACCCTCCCCCTCCCCCTCCCCCTCCCCTCTACTTGAAGCTATTCAACCACCAACCATGCTATCAATACAGTCTAAAGCATCAAAAGATACAGCTGAGCAGAAGAGCAGGATTCTGCTTACTATTAAGATCCTAAAGAAATATCAAATTAATAGTATTCGCAGTGCTACATGCTTCTTTGCTGTCCCATGCTCTACTCTATAAGATCGACTACGCGGCACTCTATTTGTTCAAGAGAGTCTTAATAGCGCTCAGAAATTAACTTCTAATAAAGAAGAATACCTCATACAATAAATTTTATTATTAGATTGACGTGGAGCACCTCCCCGATCCTCTTAAGTATAAGACATGGCTAATATTCTACTCTCTAAAAGAGGTGGTTCTAAACCCTAAAGTATTGGCTACAAAAGTTCAAACCTCCGTAGTAAGTAATAATATGTAGACTTTACTAATAATAATGTTGTTTGAATAGCTTCATTCTTGCTTGCGTTGGGTGTGTAGTAGGTGGGTGTGTAGTAGGTGGGTATGTAGTAGATGGGTGGCCGGTGCGGGCGGGTGGCCGGCGCGGCCGGGAGTTACGTTATATAACTACCATTAGTCACTTGGCCGTGTGAATGAACTCCATTAGAAGATACATCCCTGAACCGGTGGTACCATAGTCCACGGAAATAACAGCTTTGGGGGCTTGCATGGTGAACTGGGGGAAGGTGATTGAATTGAGAGATGTCAATGTCACTTTAAGGTATAGGATATTAATACCACACTTGGACTTGGAAGTACTTCTGCCTTAAATTCTCTGGAGCGAAGAATTATTCACCAGAGGCAGGGGTAGCACTGTACTAGCGATGATTTACTTTCCAGGACCCTAATAGCCTTCCTGGCTCGACTGCATGTTTCACCGGGACGGTGACAAGGTTTGAAGCGGTGGTGGCTCTGCTTTCCCGTTATTACCTTCGTTTTTTCCTCGTCTCCTTTGTCCTATTACGGCCGCAGCTCTCCGGTGGCCACCGTTCCTACCAACCCAAATGCAAGCGAAAACACTGTCTAAATTAAGGTAGAGAGTGATGAAGCCTATGAAGCCTTGGAAGAAAACATGAGAAGAAACCAATACCGAAAACTATAATTTATTTTCTATTTCCATTCTTCACTTTCGACCAAAGATCCCGTCGGTTTCTAATGTGTACTGGGCTAGCTTTGCTTTGTGGTAATCATTAGCAATTTCTGCATGGTACTTTCTCAGGGCTCCAAGGGTGTACGTTGTACAATGATGTGTGTAAAACGGATGGCACGGTAGCTTTGTCACACCTAACAGTAATTGGCTCCCGCAGAGGATGCTGGTAAGCTGTACCTCGCTCTACAATAAAGAAGACGGACAAAGAATCCTTTCAACGTACCCCAAAAGACCTGACTTATATGTAGCCTCTCTTACCTTCTCTTACTGACCACTTCTGTTATCTTTTCTGTTCAAATTCCTTGCCATTCCCCCCCGTGGCAGCAGCTCGTTTACCCTCCTCTAACCATGCCGAACAAAAAGTCAACATCTTCCAAAAAGGGCATAGCAGCAAATGTTTGAATCTCCATCTAGTTGCCCCTTGACCATCGTAACACGTTGGGCTAATAATTCGGTATCTAGAACGATGCTCCAGGTACCTGTCAGTCTACCTCCGGACGCAAAGAAACCAGAGAGCCCCGTATAAGGACCCGAAGCAGCAGCCCAGTTCGAAGAAAGAAGACGGAGTCAACTACAACGTTGACAGGCGTTGACCCGGTATCAGGGATCGCGGAAAAACCTCAGGACCTAGAAGAAGAAGCAAAGACCCTGCCGGAAAAAGGACCAAACCCGCAGGTCACTGTTGAGGATGTCAATAACGAACACGTGGAAAAGAGCTTCAATTGGCACCATGTACGCAAACCTCGAGCCATTGACTACGAGCATGCGTATCCGAAAGAGTGGCCAGCAGAGATTCAGCGACCCTTTGGAATGGCTCTTGACTGGGCACGTAAGCATGCCGAACGCAATCATGCCAATCTTTCTGTGGAGCAGAAAAGAGACCTCATCTCTAGCCTTGATGGCTACTGCATTCAGAATGACTTCGATACTATTGTATCTAGTCTTCCCCGAGAATCGCAAAATGATTGTCTAACACGCTTAGTTCATCTTTTGCTTGTCAAAGAATGCATTTCCAGGTTCTTCACGAATCCCTTCTGGTACCTTGTTCCGAACCCTAGGCCTGTGAATGATGGGGATGATAAAGAGAAGTTGGCAGCAAACGCACCCGAATTTGGAGCACAGATATTGGAGCTTTTTGAAAGAATGCGTGAATGTAAGAAATCGTGTTCCCCATTTGACATCCTGTGCTCTGCCACTGATAGCTGACCTTCCCGGTAGCTGACCCAGCGGCTGCCCAGCTTTGGCGCTTATGGACTACTCGCTTCTCCCACCCAGGTCATAAGCTCGGATATGACATGATCGCTCATCGAGACTCCGTGGCTGACAAAATATGCGCGGAAATCTTGGGCCAAGAGCTAGTGAAATCGCTCCTCAGAAGTACGGATAAATGTGATCTGGATAGAGCCTTCCTTGACATGCAGAAGGTCTTCAGGTCAGCTGCTGAAGTTTCGGTGAAAACTTCATGCCACCTTGAGCGTCTGGAGTTTAAGACTCTCAATACTTTGGACCATGCCTTTCATCACCCTTCGGCGGAGATAGAATTGGCCGAGGATTATGGAGGGGCTGAGAAGGAACATTGTTTTGACGACCGCCAAATTCTCTTCTTGGAGTTTCCCGCCATGTATCGTTGCGGAGATCTTAAGGATCCCTTTTATAAGGGTATCCTTCATAAAGCGGTTGTCTATGTTGAGGATGTAGATTAGCGTTTGCTCAGCCACTGGGACATGCTGCTTTTTGAACCAGACCTGTGGCAGTGGTCTGTTGAGTCTTTTTATTTATTTATTTTTTTTTTCACCCCCGTTTTAATGTTATCTCACTTGTTTACCCAAGGGAGGCAGGATGTGAAGATGACTCCAACAGCTCTTGATTCGCGGCTTGGAGTTGAAACTGTCAACATTCAGCACGAGGTCTTCAGTATTTCTTTCGGTTATTTCCGGCTAATTTACTTCTAAGTGTTGTCTTCATCTGTGGATGATTGCTTTACCAGAATGCCAGATCAGAATTTTGAGCTCATGAACTAGCATTAGCAGTTCTTCCGGGAGGGGGTGGGCCTTATCAGGCGGGTGGGTAGCTTGACACTCGGAAGGGAACTTCATCGCTACATTCAATGGTGGTCTAGTATGTAACCTTTCAAACAAACTTAAACAAGAATATCTTATTCGCACAATTTTCGTATCGTAAATCGCTGCACATGTAATTCGCCCGGTTCTTAGATCGTATGCTACCTACCTTCTCCAGTAATTGATTCCTTGTCTTTGTCTCGAGCACTACGACGAAGTTATCAAGTCAGAGCCAACGCAGCCATTTTACCTTAGATAGCTCCTTTCATCGAGTCTTACCATCCACATCGCGTATATATGCACGATTTAGATCAGCTGCATCAACCATTCCAGGTTCAGCTGGATATCCAGTCGGGCACAAATTGTGGGTGTACAATTCAGCGAAGGGCATGATGCATCGGTATGTCTCCAAGTACTGGGCGTGGGCTCCGAGACGAAGGCAGTAGCCGGTAGGCTTACCTGTGTCCATATCATTATATCCGACAGAAGTAGCGTACAATCTATCCAGTTGGCTCATACGCTAACTGGGTGATGCCTGCATTCAGCCCCACGGGGATTGCCCTTTCAGGACAAGTGCTGACAGCTGGTCGTTTGTTCCTGACAGGGTATATAGGACAGTCGCATGTAGTTTACTGTGCTCAAACCCTGCAAACTCCTTTTCTCCCCTTCCCCACAAGCCACGCCTAATAATGTCGAGCGAAAAGTTCAACGTCACGGAGCATGCCGTTCCCGGCTGCCATATCCGAGAATATCCCGGGAGTACTGTTCACCAAGAAGACATACTGGAACTCCATGTCAAGCAGTATACTCCCAAGAACCAGGCCGAACCCGTTCCCGCCGATGCCATCACTATCATCGCTGCTCACGGAGCTGCACTTCCCAAGGTAACACGGTCTTACTGGCACCTGTTTGTCAGGTGCACACAGGTCTAATCATACGAATTGGGAAATTCAGGAATTGTATGAGCCACTCTGGGATGAGCTGCTAAGCCAAGCCACCGGTTTCCATATTCGCAGCATCTGGGTGGCCGACTGCGCCAGTATGAACACCAGTGGGGTCTTGAATGAGGATAAACTCAGCATGGACTGTATGTAACCCACCCCTCCAAAGCAGCCATCTTGTCTCCCAAATGATGCCAATTCTAAGACCAATCACGTCTTCTCCACACGCAGGCTCCTGGATGGATCATGCGCGGGACCTGTTCCTGATGATCAACCACTTCCGCGAGCAGATGCCCCGTCCGCTCGTAGGAATCGGCCACAGCATGGGCGGCAACATCGTGTACGTGCTGAAATAGACCTCTCTACCCCGAGAAATATCAGCATCAGCGAGCACTGACCATCCCTTTCAGCACGAACTTGGCCTTTCTCCACCCGCGCTTATTCACAACCATCCTCCTCGTGGACCCCGTCATTCAGCTGAGCCCACCAGCTATGGGGTTTGGCACCGACCCTCCGGGGGCAGCGAACTACACCCTCCGACGTTCGGACGTATGGCCCAGCCGTGAGGCAGCCGTGCAAGCCAACCGCAAGTTTATGCACGGATGGGATCCTCGATGTGTGAAACTGATGGCGGAGTACGGCTTCCGGGATTTACCGACGCGGCTGTATCCGGACGTGGAGGCGGTGAAGGCGAAGTTTGGCACATCCTCCACCACCAACAACAATAGTACTCCTGTCACTCTAACCACCACCAAGCATCATGACCTTCTCGGCCAAATCCGACAGAATTTCAACGCCCGCAACCCGACCACTGGGGTGATTGAGGTTCCTCGCGACTCCCATGCCGATCTGGACCCCGTGGCTGCCTTCATCCCCCTCTACCGTCCCGAACCTCGCAGTACCTTCTTCCGCCTACCCACTCTCCGCCCCTCCTGCCTCTGGGTCGTGGGCGGGTCGACCTATCTGAACCTCGACGAGATGCGCCTTGCGATCCAGAGGTGTGGAACTGGGGTTGGTGGGAGTGGGGGTTTGCCTGAGGGGAGAGTCAAAGAGGTTACATTACCTGGCTTAGGCCATCTGATGCCGTTTCAGGAGGTCAAGGCCGTGGTGGAACCGTGTGCGGCTTGGATACGGGAGGAAATGGAGCGATTCCGTCGCATGGAGCGGGAGTGGGAGGAGGCGCAGAAGGGGAAGAGCCATCTGGTGGTTGAGGATAACTGGTATAAAGTTTTAAAGCCGGTAAATGCTCGTCGTGGTAAGGGCGGGCCTAGTGCGAAGCTGTCGTGAGAAATATCGTCCATGTAGGGCATAGTCCAGGACTTTAAATTTGTTTGTAGTGTGTCAGTGCATGATGCTGTTTATCTACAGGATTTACTGGCAGCCGTGCGGGAGGTGAACTTGTCGATGCCTACCACCCTATTTGTTGGGCCCCATACTAGTCTTATTCTAAGTGTCATTCAACACCACAATCACTCAAGTGTATAGTTTGATATGTTGAGAACTCGCTCATTTGCAAATGGTTATACATTCTTCCCTGATCGATACTCAGGAACAAAAAGAGGAAAATAATAAGCAGACAAGAGAGGAAGTAATCTGTTAGCCAGCTATACACATGTTTCACTCGTGGTAAAAGACATCTCCTTCCCGCAACGCTTGCTTCTCATCGATGCTAAACTCAACGGCAATAGAGGTAGTCAATGCTTGCTATAAGCCCATGTCAGAATTACCGGGCGAAAAAAAATATGTGTCAAGCAAGAAAAAGCTTACGGCAATTGTATGGCCGAGAGCCTCCCTATTCTTCGGCTCCCAACCATCTATGAAACGCTCGTCCACAAGCCACGCCCGTAGTGCTTCAATATCCCCACCGAAGATTGAATACATGAGGGCGCTGGTTCCAGATCCTGCAAGATTCGATTAGCATAGCCGTATGTACAATAGAGAACAGAGTTATTACCGATCATCTTGTGGATAAAACTCCCCGATAGTGTGTACTGGCCATTACTCCGCTTGCACTCCGCACGGCGAAGACCGGAGTAGTAGGAAAAGTCGGTCAGAGATAGGTGTTTCCCATCTGACGCGTGGTCGAGTAATCTATTAATCAGGTCGGTGTGCGGGATGCTTTGGTCCGGGCAGAATGCGATATCGGGACGGGTAAATGAGGCGTCATGTTGGACAACCTGAATTCCAATATATTAGTACCTGCGTTAGAAGAAGCCCGCCGAAGAATCTATTGGCAGTGAGAATAACAAGGCATGCAAGGCGATATTCATGTATACGTACGTTCAAGACATTGAGATCGTGAAGATCAATCCAGCCTCGACCTTGGTCCAGCTGCTTAGCTGCAGAGGTAAGCTGACTTGCTAGAGTTGGTGCAAGGTTGTATGCATGTTGGATTGCATGCGATAATTGTGCGTAGGTAATACGTTTTCCATTATCTGGCAGGATCCCTTGCCGCCATTACTCAGTAAAGACTGGTTAAATTAGTAAAGAAGGCTGACATACCATGATTAGCTAAAGCGTTAAGTCTATGCAAAGATTAGGGTCAGCTAGTATGTGAAAGATATGGGGGATTGACGATTACCCTGGACAAGGCGAGCGGGAATCTTCTCCTCGCTTAGGGGCCGTGTACTCTGGCCAAACCCCTCCATGGCCTGGGTACCCACGGGGTATAACATCCCCGACTGGACGATTGGGAAGGAAGGGATTCGTGACCTATTTAACTGCAAATAGGTCCAAATCTTCTGGTAATGAGGGTGGCCATTTATAACGCACAGTCAATATCAAGTCACGAATGGTGAGTTGTACAATGTAGACACCAAATGAAATAAGATCGTAGACTGCTTTGAGAAATCGAAACAGAATGTTCGCGGCTATCTTGAAATAATTTAGCATCGTGAATAAGGGCTAAGTTTAATAAGAAACAAAGACATAGTAAGATCGCATCAGAGGGGTTAAACAGTTTATGTAACCCAGGTACGGCCTCCAGGTCATATGTAGTAGCTTACAGTAATAAATTTGGGTTGCTTTGTTTTCATGTTACACAGCAGCCCCTGACGAATCGCCACAAGCGTCACCTGCATCAGCGATCGGTAAGGGTAGCATGAGTAGGGATCTCGCAGTGCTAGCTCAGCCTTACCCTACCGGCCTCATCATTTACACGGGGTTGCCTAAATACCAACACACATTGCCCGAGCTATTTTGGAGACATTACAGCTTATGCGACAGGCTCATGTCGTATCTATTGTGCCGTTCAAAATCTAGTTTGTCCAGTAACTTATGAAGGTTAGCGATCGGATATGACCGATGCTCAGGTGGAGTGTATTCCCCATCGATGACCTGGGCAGGTGATGCATGATCTTAGCGGAATATTACTATGGTGATCGCGGCCACGATCGATGCTAACGGGGACGCATGCTGCATAGCCCGAGCTAGGCCTCTATGTCTTTCTTCAGCGGCTAGTTCACCTACGCTTTGTAATACGAGATGCGTGTTCCCTATTCTTATTTGACTCCACATAATGGACTTAGTTGCATGCCCCAGACTCACTATATTATATTGATGACAAAGGCTATTTTGAAACGAAAACTAGTTATTGTGTGTGTGTGTGTGTTGCTCATATCTTAAGCAAGGATAGCTTATATTTTTCGTTCCCAGTTCTTGAAGTTGCTCGATTATATTTCTTACGCTCCCTGTTTTGCCTATGTTGTGGAACCAGCCACTCGGCAATTGTGCTTGTGATATTACAGCTGTGAAAGAACATATCATATGCCAACCACCACTGAAACCCAGGTAATCGACTGATCAGATATGACATCATCTCCAATTCAAGTAGTGAGGGATCAACGGACTCGTGGACTCATCGAATATACGCAACCAATAAGATGACCTTGCCCTGCAGAGAACACTGTCACACTGCCACAGGGTTAGGCCAGCACTTGCAGAATCCATAATGAGGCAGGGTGCGTGGCAAGCTCTGACTGGACAATGAAGAAAAAAGAAATATCGAGTCAGGAGGGGCCGAAATGGATGCTTATTTTTGGTACTTATCAGAACTTGCTTACATCATGCGGTTCATGGAATGATAACTTATGACAAGTGTGTTCAGGCTTGCTATGGCTACAATAGTCTGAGAATAGCGTATAGATTGTGGTTTCAAATCACGCGGAGGAAGCTGGTTAGACCTGCGTGCGACTCTAAGCTTGTGCGGTTTGTTTTGGTTGCGAAGTCTTAAGGTGAACAGGAAAGAAGCCTGGCGCTTTGCTATATTATACGCGTCAAAGCCGAATGTTGCATCACTCAGTGAACGATGCGCCATAGATCCACCGCACCATCATATCTAACGCGACATCGGGTCTGTCTTGGGGAAGCTGTATTCATTAAATACCATCATTAGCAACTCGCTTACCTGCATCCCACAAAGGGCAGAGAGTACTCACAAAATGTCCTGCCCCATCAACTGTAACCAGCGCAAACCTTGACTCCTTATCCGTACTCGCACTAACCTTCACCCTCACCTCCTTGGTCGTTCCAGCCACTCCACTCTTTCCGGATACCACATCCACCCAACTCCATGACTGCAGTGGCTTGGAGGTAAACTCGACCTGGCCCCTCCACGGCAGAGAATGCGCCCAGCGCAGATTCCCCGCCGTATTACAAGCCAGATCCAAGTTTCCCTGATACGCGAGGAAATGTACCTGATTCGCAAGCAGAAAAGCAATTTGCTCCGACGCAGGCGTCATCTCGTCCGAAGTGCGATCGAATGCGCGCGGCACATTGTCGGAGGTGACCTTGTACTCTTTGATTTCCTTAGGTGGTGATAAAGCGGCCCAAACTGCCGGTGTGTTCAGGTACTGCTCGATACGAGCCGCTTCGATGTAGCAGATGCCGTCAATGGCGCAGGGTGCGGTTACTGTTGCGTATCAGTAAAATACCATAGCTTTGCTGATAGGCTATGACTGGGATGGGTGAATGCTCACTGTCAAATCGATTCCGACCACCCTTCCCAGACTCGTCATCATACCATCCGATTATGCCCTCGTAGCATACTTTCGACGCAGCATGGCAAATGGCTGGATCGGGGTTCCTGTTGCATACGTCGAAGACCTCCATGCATCGCGGCATGTTGGCAGCCATGATGTCGCATCTGGTCTTGTTGAAGACCGGTTCGGGTACTCCAGGGTTAGTGGTGCAGAGAGTTTCCCAGTAGCCGTAGGCAGTGTCGCGAGGCGAATAGTAGCCGTTGCCTACGAGACATGAGCGCAGAAGGACTTGGGGCTCATTGGGATAGAGCTTATTCTGTTGAACGATTTGGCTGCCGAGGTAAGGAACATAGTGACCCTATATATATAAGTCTTTGCTAAGATAACCTGGAGAAGACACATACGGCATACGACTCTCCCGAAAGATGAAACGGAAGGGACTGCAAATGTGGAAACACCTCGGAAACAAACAACTGCAAGAACCGATGCATGTCAATTGCAGCTTGATGCGAGTCGCCTGGCAGTTCTTCGCCTTCATCAACGTACGAAAAGCCCACATCGACTGGCTGATCGACAAACAGCAGCGACGAGTTCCGCGACCATCCCCAAGGGTTGTAGTAAGTGCCATTGCCGTACTTGTTGATCAGACATGGCCCGACTTCTTCGAATAGACCAATCATGCTAGAGCCACCTGGGCCGCCTGTCATCCAGAGGGTAAGGGGATCATTGGCAGGGTCATTCTGGCTCTCAAAGTACCAGAAGAAGAGATGCTTATGACCAATGTCGAGCCAGCCGGTGTATTGGGCGGAATGGGCAGCGCAGAGCGATTCATTCTGCTGGCGGATGCGGATTGAGTGATGCGGGGAATATGGGCTGTGGAATGTGCGGAAGTCGGACGGCTCCTCTGGCTGGAGTACGGCCTGGGTGGAGGCATATGCCAGGCCGAATAGGGCTGCACTGCTGAGAAAACGCATCTGGGCGTGGGGTGTGGAGTATCGTTTCGACGGGAGAAAAAGAGAAAGCAGGAGAGGGAGATTCTGGGGTTCAGGTTTTAGCAATAGCTAGGCAACAATTGCGCTACAATCACGATAGCACGCGTGTTTTGTCAAAAGGCGGTTCTAGCCGACCTAGAGAGACATGTCAATTGTTAGTGCTGACTAGAGTTGATAAGGATGACCCTGGACCCGCATCGGCCCGATGCAGTCGTTTGCCGTTGGAGCAGCATGAAGAGCGTTATCAGTTGATTTTCTTTGATATTATATACAATATGTAAATTCATCTATAAACCTGACAAATCATCAATCGTATGTGGCATAAGCGTTGTAGCCGTGGTTGAAGTCCTTCCTCCCCGAAAGATAGCACAATGCATTAAAACAAGACTGACCCACCAGTCAGCGTCCCACCGGTTAACGGGGCACTGATGATTCCAGCCTCCAACAAATCCTGAGCCAGCCTAACAAGTAGCCCATCACACCCCTTCGCAGCCAGAACGTCAATGGCGACGGGAAATTTCTCCTGGTGTTGTGTAATGGTGCTGTAAGCCTCAATCTCTCCAACGGGAATGACAAAGTCCGGCACACTGGCCATATTGGAGATGAGGAACTTGCTATAGCCTGATGGTGCGCCAGGCAGCGAGCGGTAGACATTACGCGCTGTCTGGGAGCCATCGGTGCCCACATAGACAATAAGCGACGAAGAGCACTGCTCTGGGTCGGAGATCGGAGTGAGATAGTTCTCAGCGATCCAGTCCATGAAGAGCGTCTTGTTGTGGATGGCTTCATCCAGTGCGGAGTCAGGATACGCCATGGACCAGTTCCACCGGGAGAGAGGGACAGGGTCGACGAAGGGGACTCGGCCGTCGTGCTTTGCTGTTTGCGTATTAGTCAATGTTGAGAGTGAGAGCTTTGGGCCATACGTACCAGCATAGTCGGCATAGAAAGGATCCCTAACCAGAGGTATTTGCTGCTTCGTGATGAGCATTGGGTAGGTCAGGTTAAGCAACGTTTCAAGCGAGACATTGGCGGGCGCGCTGGATGGCGGCTGTGACGACCAGTCGGCAGGTAGGTCCAGCGGGGTGGCTGTCGTATTCAAGAATGCGGCCAGGCGCTTTTGGAACCCAGCCAGCAATGCGTCTGCCGCAGAGTCATTGGTCGTCGGGAAATCGATAGTGTACAGCTTGCTGGGGTAGCGGACTGATTTTCCATGAAACGAGGTGTAATTAGTGCTGTAGAGAGCTTGGTTGGCTCGGTCCCACAGGTAAGGGTCCCTTGTCAGCACTCCTGCAGTGTCGAGCACCGGAGACATAGACATGACATGGTCGAGTTCGACCAGACCGTGAGATGGGCGAGAACCGTAGACTCCCTGGACCTCGGCAGGATTGCGGATAGAACCACCGGTATCACTACCCAGAGCTAGGTCCAACCATTCATAGGAGCCGATGGAAGCACCCGCGCCCGACGAGGAGGAAGAAGGGTCCTGGTAACCATCTCCACGTGGATTGAAGGGCGAGTGAAGGTCGACCCAGTCAGCTGTAGCCGTTTCTCCATTTGCGAACTGCGAGGGTTTCTGTAGTCCGACAATAATGGCGCCTGCGTCGATCAGACGCGAAACAGCGGTTCCAGTGACGTTGTTCTCCCCGTACAGATTGTACCATGCTCGATTGCCGTTGCTCTGCCGCACGCCAGCGAGGCTGTAAATGTCCTTGACGCCAACACGGGCCCCAGCCAGCGGCTTCTCGGAGCTGGGGGTATAGTAGATGCGAGAGGGTACACCCACTGTGGATGAAACCAGACCGGCCACTTGGGCCGACAAAGGCTGGAATGTGCCGTCTGGCTTCTGGAGCAGTGGTTGCGTAAAGGCTCCTGCAAAGTCGCTATACAGACGGTAGACTGGATAAAGCTTCCCAGTAGCCTGTTCGAGGAAGTATGGGCCTGATGGGACAACCCTGGACTCCAAAGGCACGAGGACACTGGAGCGGGAAGTATTGAAGGTTGTAGTGACATTGTCGGGTTTGCAGCCACGGACTAAGACTGCACCCAGGAAAGCGGGTGTAAACACATCATCCACATCCGTCCATTTAGAGAAAATAGAGGGCAACGATGATACCTCAGCTATCTCCTCTTGGACAACAGTCACAGGGTAGAAGCCATTGACACTGGGGACGTCCTTCAGGAAGGCCGCCGACACCGTCACGTTCCCCGCTGAGTAAGGAGAGACAAAGTAATCGATATGGTCGAGCGTGACGGACAAGCCAGTTGACACTAATTGAGCGGACACTGCACCAAGCAGCCCAAGGGCCGCCACGCCGAGTTGTAAAGAGCGTACCATGATCAGAAGACGAGTCTGCTCAAAGGGTTGTGACGAACAGGGGCTGAGGGCTGCCCATCGGCTGCATATATACCATCCCTGCCGAGACTGTTGGAGCTAATTGGTGTCATCGGAAACAGGCGGCAAGCTCCGATATTGGGCTTGACCTGTGATTATTGATCTTTCTAGTAATTCGATGTTGCATCAACTCGAATCAATCGCATCTCCAAATCTTATCGTTATCAGGTCAACGGGTGATAAGCCGAACTTGCCGAGCGATATCGGGCATTCCTACCAAGGTGGAGTAGTTGGAGTCGTTTGGACCTTCCAGAGTAACAGTTCCTGCAGCAATTGTTCTACCCACGTGGAAGCCTATCTTGGTACTTAGTGCTGAAGTTCAAGCGATGCTACATTGGCTTTCAAACAAGGGAGGCCCAACTGCCACATCGGCCAGGCTGCCTCCACACCAGCCTTTACTCATGCTACAACCTGCCGCTCACCTTAGGACGTAAAAGCACGCTCTTAATGAGGTTAAAGCCTTATTCTAGTGCAGGTAGAATCCTTCTCGCCCGTCACTTTAAGTTATCTGCGCCCGAGGCAGCAGTTTAACATCTCTATATCAAGATCATGGGGAGGGTTCTGCCTGTACTAACAGGCAAGCCTTACTCTTTATGGAACACGCTTTGCCGGCAGAGGTGGGCGGAGGATGTGGCATGAGCGAAAGCTGGTGTGAAGGCAGCATGGCCGGTGTGGCAGTAGCGTCTCCCTTCAACCAACGGCCATAGATACCGTGCGCCCAAGTCATACATGACGAGGCCATCCACAAAAGGAACGAATTTTCAGAAAACATCAAGTTCATTGGAGTTGAGATGGTGGTTAAGATACATCATGGGTTTCAATACATACAGTTTGGATTACCCACGAGGGCTGTCGCAACTCCGGGGTGGCCTTATGGTTTCTAGGTACCCGAAAGATGTCACACAGACTACAGCTGCTACTGTCGCCATTTCCAGAGCATATGTCCATCGGGCCCAATCATTGCCTCCAAGCGCACCCAAACTATTGCAGCGGTGGCAGCAAACAGAAGGGCACTGACCAGTACTGACATGTTCTCGTACGCCTTCGGGGTGAGGGCATTGGCCGCACTTCTGACCAAGACACCACCAACCGGGGTACCGACCATGGTGGCCATGCCACGAACCATATACAAAACACCGTTGACGGAGGCAAAATTCTGTACCCCAAACAGCTCCACAAGACTGGTCGGGAAGAGTGATACATACGCACTGGCGAAGGTGCCATAGAGAATGGTGAACGTGATAAATAGACCCTGCGACTGCGTCGTCTGACCGGTCAAAGTGGATGGTAACCAGAAGGCAACGGTAGCGATGGCACTAAGGCAAGTGGTGAGCAGAAGAGCATTTAATCGACCCAGACGATCGGCCACATGGCCAATGACGATTTTGCCCACTGCGTTACAGGCATTGCTGAGGGCAATGAAGTTGGAGCTGGCTGTGGTACTGTATCCAAGGGATTGGGCGTACGAAGCATAGAAGAAGACCGGGGTGTAATATGCAGCCGCCTGGAATATTGCGCCTAAGGCCTGGGCCATAAAACGACGCGTCCGGGCAACGCGCCAGTCCACTAGCGGCACGTTCAGAACACCATCCACACGACTGGTTCTCGAGGCATTTTCAATTGCGATACGACGCTGGCTGGCTGGCTCCCAGGCCATTGCCCCGCTAGCGACCGCGACCAGCGCGAACGACAGACCGCCAGTCAGGCGCAGGGTGTTGCGAAATTCGAGGGCGTTAACGCACGAAGTCAGCGCGGGCGCCCACACCAGACCACCCACACCAGTGCCTGATAAGATGATGCCCATAGCTAGGCCTCTGTGATGGGTAAACCACGTGGGGGCAATGGTGACTGGTATCATGTAGCACAAGCAGGTACCAATGCCGTTCAGCAGCCCTTGCGTCAGCTCGAAATGCCACAACTTCGTGCCGAAGCTGGCCAGGATGAGAGAAAGCCCGAAGACAAAGCCGCCCGCAAAGGAGACCAAACGAGGCGAGAAGCGTTTTGCCCAAGCGACCGCGAAAGGCCCTCCGATGGTCATCAGGGACACTGAGATGGTACCAATCAGATCGATCTCTGCCGGCGATGCTCCGGTAAAAGGTGTTCCGGGCTTCCGTGCCAGACTCTCATACAGGGCTTGGTAAACACCCCACGCGAAGTTGAGACCACAGCAGGTGAAGATGATGACAAAGGAGGCCGCCACGATGATGGTGGATTTCCTGACAAATGGAAGTAAATCTCTAGGTTTTGAGAGTATTTCAGGGGGGAGGGGGTGGGGGGCATTGGTAGCTTACCAAGTCGAATTCCGTGCTGCATGGTTCTCAGCTGGACTCGAAACTATGGAAATGGCTGTCAAGCCAGGCATGGTGCTGGCTAGATTGATCTCATCTTCGGACACAGCGCTGCGGGCGGTTATTGAGGCCGACATTGGAGATGGAATCTTACGAAATTTGTCAGTTCCTGAAGACACACACTAACTTGGAGATCGAAGTTTCACTGATATCGAATCGGTGGTCTATTTCATCTCAACGGAGAGAATGTGAGTCATCTGAACCAAGCTGCAGGATGAAGATCTGACGTCTTTCGCATGGCTGCTGCGTGGATTAGATTGGTTGATGAGGACCTCGGATCCAGCCGACGGGTCACTTCGGCGGGTCAGTCCGGGAATGCTTGCTGGGCATCAGATTCGACAAGGCAGACCACGCTGTAAACAACGACACAATTGTATATATCATACTGCCTGAGTTGTATAAGGCTTTTGTTGTGGCATTTATAAGTTAACAAATGGTGAGCAATACGGAAAGCACCCACCATGTAGCAGTGCCGAACCCGCCTTGAAGTTGTGTGGTTGGGTGTAGTGAGGAGCTGCTTGCTCTATGCCAACATTGTGAGACAATATGCCACCATTATCCCCAATGACAATAGCAGTGAATGCTCAACTTATTGAATTATTTCGCGAGAGTCAGTGTGGCCGGTTACTGCTGGGTCACTATCTTCCCGCAATACCCGCTAACTCCGCGGGTTACTTCCCATTGGCGGAAGAGACTTTGTAGTCCTATGGAGTGTTTGTTAAGAAACAGTCATAACTAATATAAAGAGGAAAAGTTTTCTTTGCATTGGATACATATTTCATGGCTAGACGGCTGAATGGTTGTTAGTCGCTGCGAAAGCCATTCCATGTCACCGAGTCAGTCTTTTCAGTGGCTATCATCACTATGAGCAACCCACAAGATAGTGAAATCAGCAGCCAATCCTCCCAAGTATTGAAGGTGCTGACCACAAACTGCTTGATGCCTTTCTGTATCAATTATACTGACGGGCGATACGTATCAGGCCGATGTGGAAAAATTCCCTGGACACCTTCTGTCCATGGGACAGGGCAAAGCCTTTCCTCCACCCCTGCCGAATCGGGAAGACTATGTCGTCGATTTCGATGGCCCGGACGATCCTCAGCACCCCTTGAATTGGCCTCTCTTTACCAAGTACGCCATTCCTCCAGTTTCCGGACTCTCACTTACGCCTTCCCTCTTAGAATACTCATATCGACGATCGCATGCTTTGGCACATTTATCCCATCATTCGCCAGCGGAGTCTTTGCACCTGGCTCTGCAGCAGCAGCCAAGTCTTTCAATGTAGGATCCGAAGTTGGGATACTGGGTACATCGCTCTTCGTGTTAGGTTTCGCAGCCGGACCTGTCATCTGGGCCCCCGCTTCAGAGCTATTTGGAAGACGATGGCCATTGACACTAGGCATACTCGGGGGTGCTATATTCACCATTGCATCCGCCATCGCGAAAGACATCCAAACGCTGATAATCTGTCGCTTTTTTGCGGGAATGTTCGGGGCCAGTCCACTCGCGGTGGTTCCTGCTGTGCTGTCGGACATTTGGAACAATTCGCACCGCGGAGCTGCCATTTCGCTGTATGCAATCCTCGTTTTCTTGGGTCCATTGAGCGCCCCTTTCATTGGAGGCTTCATTGCTTCGAGTTCGCTCGGATGGCGTTGGACACTGTATATTCCGGCTATAGTGGGCTTTGCTTGGGGTGGTATCTGCATATTATTTTTGAAGGAGACATACGCGTCTTGCCTTCTTGTGTCGAAAGCGGCCACCCTTCGGCAGCAAACTGGTAATTGGGGCATTCATTCAAAGCAGGAGGAAGTCGAGGTGGACATACAGCAGCTAATTCAGAAGTACTTTACTCGTCCACTGCGGATGCTCGTAACTGAGCCTATTGTTTTGGTTATTTCCCTTTATATGTCCTTCATATATGGCATTGTGTATGCCCTGCTTGAAGCTTACCCTTATGTTTTTGAGTCCGTCCATGGCATGGGCCCCGGGGTTAATGGTCTTCCATTTATTGGCCTCATTATTGGGCAGATGGCTGCCTGCGGATTCGTTCTCTCACAGCACTCCGCCTACGTGGAAAAGTTAGCTGCCAACAACAACGTTCCCATCCCAGAATGGCGCTTAGATTCTGTTGTAGTTGGTGCTCCAGTGTTTACTATCGGCATCTTCTGGTGAGTCAGGTCACTTCATCCATTTGATTCAGTACTGATTAGTGCCACAGGTTCAGTTGGACTGGCTTTACTGCTAGCATTCACTGGATGGCTCCAACTGCAGGAGGAGTATTGATCGGTTTCGGAATTCTGTCTATCTTCCTACCATGCTTTAACTATTTAGTGGATTCATTTCTCCCCGTGTAGGTGTGGCCTGCGTTGTGATGGAAGTGTGATGCTGACTCTGTGTAGGGCTGCTTCGACCGTGGCTGCCAACATCATCCTCCGATCCAGCGTTGCGGCAGGGTTCCCGCTTTTCTCGAAGCAGATGTTCGCCAATCTCGGAGTGCAGTGGGCGGGTACACTGCTGGGATGTCTGTCAGCAATTATGATCCCCATTCCGTTCCTATTTCGAGCATATGGACCCAGGTTGAGAGGGGAAGGCAAGCAGACCAGCCAGTGAGTGCTGCAGTGGACACTGAGGGTTTGCGGGTAAGAGAAACAGGGTGATATACCACCACTGTGACACTTGACAAGCGATACGGCCTGAAGCATTACTTGGTAGAGCGTGGGGGTATGGTGGTAAGCACAATCGCTGTAGGGATCAATTAAGATTCTCTAGCGGGGGATGTGGGAGGGTGGATCAGCTGCAGCTGTCCTATCTTTGCGATCCTACAGACCTTTGGCCCGGATGTCTAACCTTATCCACGATTCACATACATGTTAAACTAAATTACTGTATATATAATGCTCGATAATGAAAACTGCCTCAAAGAATACTACTATACATCTTCTATCAGAACATTGACGTTAGGGTGTTGCTTATTAGTGTCATTGCCGGTCGGGAGCAGACGGAAAACCGAGTGCCGCCCGACCGATGACCCTTGGCTCATCTTTCCCACTTCCAAATCTTTCCTCGTCCGCGATCGATATACCTTGGTATGCATGATGAGCGATGCGACTGCCTTGAAGCGCAAGCGGGCTCGACTGGCTTGTGAACCTTGTCGGGAGCGGAAAAGGAAATGTAATGGTGAATCCCCCTGCTCGACGTGCACGAGTTGGGGCTATGAGTGTCACTATCAGGCTCCGCGACGCGTGAGAAGCAAACCCGCCGACCGGGGAACCAACATCCGCGACCAGAATGAACCCATCCTCGAATCGAGTCCCCGACAGGTGGGCCGCTTCACCGAGACCCTTGAGGTCAATTCGGGAGCGGCTTTTGTGAGAAAGATCGGCCTCAAAGTTGACCCAGCCTACGCGCCCAAATTGAATCTCTTTGGCTGGAATGTGGGCAGACGCAAGTCCCCCGCCGGACTCGCCCCCGTCGCAGCCTTTCCTATTGTCGAGATCCTCTCGTTGATGCAGATGAGGACTCTGGCGAATGTCTATTTTGCCAAGGTGGATCCCTGCTATGGTTTCATCGATTCCAGTGATTTCTTCCGCCACATGGACAACCGCTGGCAGCCCAACGCGGTGGAGTGTACCTATGACGGCGTCCTAGCTGGGGTTGCCGCTCTCGGATGCCTTTTCTCAGGGACCAACATTAACATCACCGAGTCTCACTTGGTCGAACTGGTGCGCTCAATCTCCGAGACTCATATCGGAAGTGTCCGTCCCTCACTGCACTTGGTGACTGTATGGACCCTGCGCGTGATTTATTTGCGCATGACTGCCCCTCCGTATCCCTGCTGGGTGGCAAGCTCCACCTTGATGCACTTAATTGAAGCTTCCAAGCTCCATCAACTATCAACAGATGACGATAATGATGTCGATATTCGACGGAGACTCATTGGTGTCGCTCAACATCTGAACCTCTGGATCTCCTACGATCTTGGTCTTTCCCGAGTTCCCCTGTGCAGTGATACGCTCGGACTGCCTTCGTCGCGACCCGGCGATTTCACCACAGAGCTCCTCGGTCTCCTACCTGTAACCGCCAGTCTGGGTCCGGAGAACCAACGTCCAGACCAGGAAATTGAAGAGCTATTACATCAGACGTTAAACCGCAGTCACACCAAACCACCCTCTCTTCTTTGCCAATGCAATCTGGTTCTATGTCTGCTTCGACGTCTCCGGTTAACAAACCTCACTGCATCACCAACCGCAATGACCAAAGTCCTTGACCTACTCAAACGCAGTCTGTGTGCATCACGTGAAATGGTCGCCGACTGCTCTCCATGGCACCATGTACCTAATGTACCGTTCCAGATGATCAGTATCATCCTCGAGATGGACACCAGCCCAGCACTCGAGCTACTGCCTGAAGCTATGCAAACGTTGAGGGCGGTAGCCTCTACCTACGATACGGAAACTATGAGGGAAGCGTATAACACAGCGTGTTTACTCATTCTTCTGTACGAACGGCGTAGACGTGCGGACACTAGGTTGTTGAGTACAGTACTCCATGAGTATCAGCAGTCACCAGAGTCGTCGCTCCAGCAAATGCCAACTTCTGACGAAGTATCCTGGCTCGAGGGCCTAGTGGCTGATGTGCCAACCTTGCAGGGCCTTGACTTTAGTCAGTTCTTGCAGCCGGACATGCTTCGAATGTCTCCGGATGCTTCTGCTTGGGGGAATAAGTCTAGTTAACTGACAGCCCCCTGGAGTAGATCGCCTGTGCATCTGATATAAGTTTGCAGGGGTCCAGTGTAAGTCGGAGAGATCACCTTAGAAGCGTGCTCCTGACACACTCCAGATGCCATATTGGAAGTACGAAATAGCACGATAGCTAAACTCGTCATGTGACTGACGGGATGACAGACATTCTCTCGGAGATAAATGGAGATGCTAAAGGGATGACCTGAGCATCCACTTGCAACGACGTTTGTGGAGAACCACCATTTCCCCGCTATAATGCAGGCTGAGCGGGATCTGGAAGGCAGCCGACGATTCATTGATACAATGGACTTGATAACACTCACTCCTATGAAGGGCCCGGAGATAAATGTGGATCTACCGTCAGCCTGCAGCCCCACAGGAACCAGCTGACATGTTCACCCAGACTTCAGCATATACACATTAGGGTAGTTGAGTATAAAAATATGACCAGAGAACAACCAATATGCTCGTCCTTTTTCAACAGCAATAATATCATTTCACGACGTCCATTCCAACCCTGCGTCCTGAAGCCTATCACATCCCACCTCGACTAGTTACACAACACCTACAACCCCCCCCCATAAAGCTTCAGAAATCAAACACGAAATTATGCCTGAATCAATCATCATCCCCTCCGCCCACAAACCAGACGCCAAAAGCGCCAAACCCACGGCCACCTTTACAGGAGACGTCTACCTTGACCCGATCCACTTCGCCAGCGACGCCTCCATCGCCAATGTCACCTTTACTCCCTGCGCACGCACATACTGGCACACCCACGAGAACAGACAGATGATCAAAGTGGTTGCGGGCAATGGATGGATCTGCGATAAGGGAGGGGTCCCTCGTCGTTTGAACGCGGGAGATGTTGTATGGGCACCCGCGGGGACGACGCATTGGCATGGGGCGGATGAGGAGACTGTGATGACGCATTTTGTTGTTGGGCTGGGAAAGACGGTATGGCATGAATCTGTTAGTGAGGAGGAGTATAAAAGGAGAGAGTAGGGGCAGGAGTAGATGGATATGATGGGGACAGGTGCGGTGTTGGTGGGCAGGATAGACGGCGGAGCCTGATCATGAGTGGAGGGGGCGTTGTTTTGAGTGAGTGTTTATTAGCGGGATAGGGAGCTGTATAGCTGATGAAAATACAATCTATGATCAATGCATATTATTATCATAGCAGAAGGTAGGCCATATCCATCATTCTCCTATAAGCACGGTGAACGCTTCCACTCCGCAACATCCGCAATACGCGCTCGGCAATCAACGGAACTTATTAGCCCCGCTCTCTAAACCCCATAATCCCATCCCATCTCATCTCATCTCACGTCATCTCATCCCCTCCACTACTTTTATCATCATCTTCTTCTTCTTCATCCTCATCATCAATCATTTAATGCATCTATATCCATCTATATCCCAAAAACAATCACAGTCACAATCACACACAAAATGCCCCAACTCCAACACCTCGCACCCACCCTCTCGCGCCTCTACCCATGGACCACCAGCCCTATGATCGTGAGTGCACCCATGCGCGGCATGTCAGGCCCCGCCCTAGCCGTGGCAGTATCGCGGGCCGGGGGGCTGGGCTTCGTCAACAATGCCATCCAAGACGTAGCCGCAGATCTAGAGCAAGCATCATCTTTAATATCCTCATCTGCCCTCAAAACAACACCATCTCCCCATCTCCCCATCGGCGTGGGCTTCCTCCTCTGGGCCGACGACCTCGACACTGCCGTCGACGCCATCCAGAAATACAAACCCTGTGCGGTATGGCTTTACGCCCCACCTAACGGCCAAGCAGATCTAGATACCTGGTCCCGAGGGATTCGTGCCGCGTCACCGGGAACTCAGATCTGGATCCAGATCGGGACGTTGTCCGAGGCGAGGAGTATCTTGAAATCGGCAGAGAAACCCGATGTGGTTGTCGTTCAGGGAGCAGAGGCAGGCGGTCATGGGCGTGCTAAAGATGCAATGGGTTTGATTTCGCTCTTACCGGAGGTGGCTGATGCGATGGCGGGGAGTCAGATCCCGCTGTTTGCTGCGGGCGGGATAGCTGATGGACGGGGAGCAGCGGCGGCGCTGTGTCTTGGTGCGTCTGGGGTGGTCATGGGGACGAGGTTCCTGGCCGCGAGCGAGACGAGAATCGCGCGCGGGTATCAGCAGGAGGTTGTGAGGGCGGAGGATGGGGCTGTGGGGACTACGAAGACGTTGTTGTATAATCATCTACGGGGGACGTTTGGGTGGCCCGAGGAGTATATGCCCAGGACGGTTATTAATCGGTCGTGGGTGGAGCATCTGGCTGGGAAGGGATTCGAGGAGTTGAAGGTGCTACATGATGAGGCGGCGAAGCAGGGGGATCAGGCATGGGGACCGGAGGGGAGGCTGGCGACGTATGCGGGGGCGTCGATTGGGTTGGTTCATGAGGTTAAGGATGCGGAGAGTATTGTGAGGGAGGTGAGGGAGCAGGTGTTGGAGCGATTCGCTTCCATGGGGGGTCAGTAGTCTAGATGTTGAGGTCATCACCGTCTGATTTCTTCATTGTCTATTCTGATATGCTGTTTGACAATTCACGACCATGATGAACAAGGGAAGAGCTGTGTTATTACAGTATTGATGATGTCTAGTACTATGAAAGATCATCCGTCACCACTCATCACACGCACTCAACCTGCCCATGACTTAAAACTGGCAGTGTCCCTCGTCCTCCTCCTCACCGTGGCCAGATTCCTGACCGAATCCCTGGCCAAATCCCTTATTGATTCCCCAGTTAGATCCAGCCTGAGCAGCCTGGGTAGGCACCTGCGCCTGGGTCTGGAAGGTAGAAGGACGGGCCTCTCCACCCACAGTCCAGCTGGGCACCTGGGCAGAGACAACAGCCGAGGTAGCCTCCGCAGCCACAGCGGCGACGCTGCTGGGGGCAACAGGAGTCTCCGAAACAGTCTCAACCGACGCACTAGCCGCGCCAGCAGCAACGTGTGTCACAGCCGCAGAAGCGCTGCTCACAACAGCGACAGAAGCAGAACTGCTCGCCTTGGCTGTAGCAGAGGCAGTGGTAGTAGAGTTAGAGCTATTGCTACCTCCAATGCAAGCAAAGCTCATCTTCTTGGTGTATTTGGAGCTATCGGCAGACCAGACGACCTCGGAGAGATCCCAGTCCATGTTGACATACGGCCAGCAGATACGGCCATCCGACATGGTGACCATATCACCGGACACATACACATCGGTGCTCTTGAAGGCATCGCCGACCTTGTTACCCTCGGAATCGACCTGCTGGAAGTAAGTTCCGGCGAACTGTCCACGGCAGCCCATGGCGATGTATTCACAGATGGGATCGGAGATCTCCTCCCAGGTGATAAGAGCCGAGGAGTTACCGAAGGTGGCAACGTGAGCGTTGGAACAGTCGTTCGACCCCGAGGTCACCCAGGTGACCTGGCTATCGCCGTCCTCGGCACCGACGGTGGAGGTAGCCTGCTTGCCGACCTTGGTGTACTTGTCGGTGAACAGGGCGAGGGCGACATTGCGGGGGTTAGTGCGGTTACTGACGTGGGTGTAACCGTCGCCCATCCAGGTGTTCTCGGTCACGTCGACAGCGCCGCGGGAGACCCAGGTGAAGATGTAGCGAGTGCTGTCAGCGAAACGGGCCAGACCGCTGTAGCTGCCGCCCATACCGCCCATGGCTTCACCGGAGGCGCCATTGGTGGTGTTTTCGTTGGAGATCTTGACGCCGTCGTTGGTCATGCCCTGGGTCTTGGTGTTTAGCCAGATGGCGCCCTGGTCTTCGGCGCAGATACTGGCGTACGGAGGCTCGTCGGCAGCCTCGAAGGCGATACCGGTGTTGTGGCTGCAGCCCCAGGAGCTGGAGGCGCCGGAGATAGTCACGAGCGTGCCGTTGTCGGCAACGTATTCGATGCTGTCGCCGTAGTGGCCGGAGGCGTCGCCGGAGTAGTCAGTCACGACGAAGTAGGCGCCGTAGAGGCCGGCGGACTCGGAGTAGACCAGGTCGCCGTTCAGGTCGGGGGAGGCGGAGAGACCGTCGGAGGAGTGGACGCCGGGACCACCGAGCCAGGTCTTCCAGGTTTGCGTGCCGTTGGTGTAGCGGTGGAGAACGGGGACGGGAGTGTCGCTGGGAGGAGCGTTGGTGGTGCCGGAGGGCATGGCCTCGTTGGTCAACAGGGCGAAGCCGTCATTGTGGGCGACAAGACCACCGGCTGGAGTTGTTAGCAGAGTTACAGCTGAGATAGGGTTGTATGCGGCATACCTTCCTGTCCACCGCTGACAGTGACGGTGGTTCCCGTAGCCTCAAATGTAGTCGGGTCCAGCTCAGTAACATGGACGTCAGACCCGCTGGCATCCAGATACGCAAGATAGGCAGTCTTTCCATCGGGGGAGACAGCGAAGGGAGTCCGACGATGGTGGACGTAGTCAGTCCAGTAGGCCGCCTCAATGGGGTTGAAGGAGCTGTCGAGTGCCAGGACGTCGACGTGGGTCTTAAGGTTAGACTCGGTGAGAGCAGCAGAGGCGCCCAGCGCCGCAGAGAGCAGAGAAAGAGCGAAAGAGCCACGCATGACGGGCGATAGTCGGTAAGATGTCTGCAATGTGTGTGTTGCTGCTATGCAAATATTGGGGGACTTGTTCGGATATATAGGGCTGGTGAGACGGACTACCGGTTCCGAGAGGAGCGCTCTTGTGGGAATTAAGGGTGTGGCCTAAGCCTTTCTGGTGCCATTGTTCTCGACGAGAGTGAGACCCTGATGGGGCATCCTCCCTGGATAATGGAACTGGGGTTTCATCTTGATCGATGCCAGGGTCTCGGCTCTTCACCGCCCGGCGGCCTGCCAAACCGGTGCTCCACTATGAGGCTATATCAGAGTTCATTAAGTCTATTTCGACGCTACCTGAATTTGACCTGAATCGGTGAGAAATAATGAAATAGGGGTGATATATGACAGGCAGCAATTTCTGCATTTATGATGAAATGCCCAGAAGACCCCATGGGATACCACGGATAACTGGTGATGCGACCAGCGATGTCGATGGAGAGGGGATGCTTGGCAGCGGATACGTGAAACAGGACGGCTCCGGAGAGTCTCCGTGAGCTTCTCTTCCTTGCATTGGAGTCGGTTGGAGTATTAAGCTCATATAGGCTTTTCAGTTATCGGCATTCTAGCAAATTCTGGCAATGCGCATGGACATGGCCGTCAGCTGAGACATGAACGGAGAAAGCTCAATGTAGTTATCAGCTGCGGTTACCTATATGATATAGCACAGAATGAACCTATGCGTTTCAGGTTTATTTCATCATTCAGCTCCACAGTTCACTGTTCCGAGACCGGCAGCCCAATCGCCTGATGCGTTTGCTTCACGATCTACCTCATACCTTCACTCGTAGCACAGAAGGCTGGCTCGGAATAAGCAGAAATTGTTCATTTGGGGGAGCTCTTATGATATCGGTGCTCGTGTCGTGAGATCCGGGTGTCCCAGAATGGTACCGGTATTCCGCGGCGCATGACGCCAACGGGATGGTCCTCGTGACGGTGCATGGCTAGCTTCAAAAATCGGAGATAAAGTAATCAAAACTATACCGAGCCAGCCCTTTATTTCAAACACCCACAATGCATCATAACTTTTCGATAGATCCTTTTCAATTTTGATTCGATCTCCAGTTCGGCATTAGTATTTCATGAGACCAGCGCGCTCTCTGCTGATATATAAGGCAGATAAAGGCTTAGGCCCTGCTCTTAGGAGGTCATTATTCTGAGACGCTAGACGTTCTGACAGAGCCTCTATATGTAATAGATGGCTCCGGCGGATGAGAATCTTGACAATGGCGGGGATTGCTTCCTGTACATTTTAAGCTGGGTTGTGATATGAAGTGACACAGTATAACGTCTCGTATACTAAACGGACGGACACCGTAATGCCATTTCATTCCTAGGCCGGTATCTACCAGCCAATAAGGTCATTGTTCAATGCAACGTATCACATACACTTTCATTACTGAACAAGTTATTAATAAATACTAGTTTCATCTCTGGCTCGTAGGGTTAGAATGTTCAGCTTAGTAGTAGATTAAGAGCAGTGAGCCACTGGCCTTGATGAGCGGAGAACGGTGTGCATGCACAATATTATGTCCCAAGTCCAATAGTGAGTCATATGGTCGAATGCGGCAAAGCGGAGGTCCGAAAAGCCACTTGCCGGCTCGGTAGGCGTTTCAAACTTCTGCTTTGCTAGTAGGGTCATCTTCTGGCTGCACATCCCGAAGGAGAACATTCGGCAGCTCTCTTTCATAAAACTAGACGCCATCAGCCGAAACCAAACTCGACGCATATGCCTCTGAAGTATCACGAAATAGACTTACATCACGATAGATATCTCGTAGTCGCATTTCCATAAAACACTTGAAAGCCATGGTCTTATTCATAAAATGGTCACGCACTGCCTTGGCATCTGGATCGCCCAAAGAGACTAGGACTCTTTCGAGCTCCTCTCGAACAATGCGCCACCCTCCATGGGATTCCAAGCCTAGCATATATAAAAGATGGCCCACATGCATCTGGATTAGAGCATGGTATACCTTGTGCCACACCTTATGCATATCATCGACAAAAGCGCTAGCGCCAGGAGGAATTGTACTGAGGTCAATACGAGTCCGGGAGAATGTAGGTCGATGTATTCTTGCTCCACCAAAGTCTCGCACAGCAAATCCAGTAACCTCTTTTGAGGTTGTATTAATGCGGACGCAAATGTTCTGAGCATGAGCTTCGAGGCCAATTCCGTGACGGACCAAGGGTGGCAGAAGCAAAGAGAATAACTTTGCAAGATATCTATTATAAAGGACTTCTGTTAGATAAAGAAGCGAGCTAACACAGGCTCGAGGCGGGTGGGAACAGTACTTTCTAAGCCATGTTTGCTTTTTCTGGAGATCGTCGAGCCCAAACATAATCTCCATGTATGTTCGATGATCCTTATATGGCTTCTGGAATAATCCAGCAACTGGGATAATGGTTTCTCCAAGCTTTTCCGCTTGAATTTCAGGGCTTTTGCGTATAATGCATGTTAAATGGCGTGCTTTATCAAAATCATCCTGGCCGCCTGTGATGGAAGCGGCATCTTCAAAGATCCATAAGTCTTGTGGCAGTACGGTTCTCAGCGCCGTGCTGAGTGCTGGACTCAAAGCAGCAGTCCATGGTGTAATCGTCCTCGGGCCTGATGTGATCTGGCAATTTAGTGAGAGCTTAAGATGCAAAGGGGACCCCACATCAGGGAGGAATGATATAGTGCGCATTGAAATCTGCGCACGACAGCATCTCCTAACAGCGCCAATGTGGCGTGCATCAGGAAAGAGCGGAAGGATGCTCGGAAGCTGGCGGGTGAAACACGGTACTATCACTCTGTCTGGTGACTCGGGGCTAGGAATGCCTAATGACTCCAGGAGAGGTTTCAGTAGACTCGAGTATGGTCCGAAGGTTTTCATTTCTGATCGTGGTAGAGATAGAAACGATAGCTCAGGTTCTAGCAGCTCAGGGATCTCATCAGGTGCTATGGGCTTCAAAGGCGGCTGAGCAAGACATGCCCGGTGTAGCTTCACAGAGTTAACACTAAGGCAATCAGGATCGAGAAAGGTAGTGGAAAGCTCACCGGATGCGTTGGATGTCCAAGCACAACGGACTGCTCCCAATCACACAAAGAAGACTTCAGATGTAGCGTCGGCTTAGTACTGGCTATCTCCAGCCATTTTTCTGTCTCATATTAGAATTGGACGTTTACAATATGCCTTGGAGGCTCACCTTGATTGTCGGCAGAATTCCGGACTTCCTTGACAAGTGTATCTACGGCGGCACTCGGAAAATTCTCAGGTTGCCAGAGGCAAATAATGCGGCAAATGGCACCTGGGTCTAATTCTTCTGATACTTCCCCTTCGACTGCTTGAGTGAGCACTGGAGGAAGTAGATCATCCGCACGTAGAAATCCGGTGACTTTCCCATCCTTGCTCTCAACATAGGCGGAATTTCGGAGACCACATTTGATCCAAAACTCTCCAATTTCAGCTGGGTCACGTAGACACAACACCAAGTTTGGATGTATAGACCTCACTAAAGTTGCGCTGGCCAGGCCCTCGTTCACTGCACTTGCCAGAACTCGCCTAGTAGTCTCAAAGAGAGCCTGTCGCCGATAGAGCGATGTATCGATTGCACGGTCTGCTGTCTCATTGATGTGCGCTGTAACTTTGCATTCAGTCGAGGTGCGTGTGATACGTTCTCCCCACTCGGTCATTTGCATCGTAGGAGAACCTTCAACCCGGTAAGCTGGCATTCTGCTCAATCTCAGCAACTGCCATGACAACAAAAGCAGCCTTCCTGGACTGGATGCGATCCAGACTATTAAGTGGTACAAAATATGGAATTTGAAATAGCGAGATGTAATACTTCGATGGTTTCATTTCGAATACGTAGTTAATGATAGCCGAAACCGTGAATTAACCCTACGGATGCTCCCATTAATGTTCCCGGCGACGACGCTGGAATGCAACATTGCTCGGAAGTGGATGAAACCCTCCACCTGAAAGTGGATGACCGCGATATTTCCAGGCTCAATGCTATAATTGAAAGCTAATCGTGGATTCATTACGGTAGTATTCGAATATAAGATGAGTAGGTGGAACACCACGGTATGATCCGTGATGGATGTGATGTTTTCATATGAAGCTCTCTACATGGGTTGAGGGTGGTAATATGACAAGAAACACCCAGACTTCGGAGTCAAATACGTCATTAGCTAGACTATACTCTGTGAAGGTCAGTTGACAACGTTGGGAGTGGGGAAATACAGCATAGAAAACGAGTCGCGCATCCGTGGCATGTCGATAGACTGAGAAACCCCAATCTCAAAACACAACATATCTTGAACATTCCAAGAAGTGGCCGATACTGTATGGAAGCAGCATTCCCACCTCAACCCTGGTGCAAAATTCCATAGACTACCTGCATCAGACCAATGGCCAGCTTCTCGTAAGTAGACTCATACCAAGACGTTCAATATACTCACAGTTTGCCTAACCCAGGGATGACAACTACAACTGCTCTGCATATGCGGCATGTCACCCACCACCCCAAAAACAATATTTTTGATACTATTATAGCTTATCATCAAGCTCCGCAAGTGTTGTATATTAATCTGGACTGTAATAATAATATTATATTCTATGATTTAATTAGTTATTGTCGGCTGAAACTCACTTTTACTTTACTAATTGAATTCTTATCTAGTCATTTAAGAATAATCTTTTCCATGAAAGCCCAGATTAACCACATGCCACATATAAAATTATAAACAAATTCTTAATATTAACAGAGCAGATTGAGCTTACTTCTTCTAAATCCTGATATCTATTCCTTGTCACGGAGCGGAACCCGGGTGCACATTCCAAGCGGCTAACCGTTGCGCTATCGGCAAAAGGTCCAGGATGAGAGGCGATAGCTTTACACTGTGCACACTATATAAGTCTTTATCGATAAACATCGCGGGTTCAGGCAGGCAGGTTCAGGTTCAGGTTCCACGGCAGACAGCTCTCTTAGCTCGCACCGTGACAATGTTTAGTGGTTGATTCCTTACTTAGTCGACAGGCTGTCTATCCTGACAAGTAGATCCCATCATAATATCATAGTGATAATCCAGTCTAATGACTTTTTTTCTATCATATAATAGTATTTAATATCTTATAACAAAATTTATTAAATAATTCAATATTTAATAAGCTTTTAGTTTGAAATATACCTATTATATTATAAACAATTAAATATTTCTATAGAATTTTCTTAATTCATATTTTTGTTTAGTATCATTCTTTTATAAAATTAATATATACTCTACTGATAGATTTGATAAATATAATCTCTAATAGCTGGCTTTTGATTATTAAATTACTCTGAACATATCATCTTGTTAGACTATATTAAAGCTCTTGCCAAACGATTTTGATGGATGAGTATTGTGAAAGCAGTGAGACAACCTTTGGAGACTTTAAGATCAGCTTACTGGATTGAAATGGTTGCTATTCAGGCTCGTGTACCAAATGAGTAGCTGAGGGCATGGCCCATGCTGTTTAAGATTCAGCTGATCATCTGTCAATCTCCCTGAACGATCTGCTAGCCGAGGGCGTGACGGTGAAGGACAAAGTATAATATTCACTTTATTTGATTAATAAAAAACCTCTTTGGGGCAAGTAGAGTCGCACTGCTCAGCTTTGCAGCAATATTGATGCAGTTGGCTGTTCGGATTGGTAAAGAAAGCGGGGAGTGCATGCACACTCCTATGTTTAATGTTCAATTGTCTTTCGTGTGGTATTGCTTCTTCTGTGCCCCCTTTTCTGCAACATTGACGTATTCTGTATCTAGAAACCTGAAGTATCTTTGACTGTGTATATAGGTTCGAGAAAAATATTATTAGGTTCACATAGCTAACTGCTGGTGCTGCGTCGTTGATCTATCATGGTCTGTACAACGAACCCAACGAACACGTCTTGCATACTAAGTTTGTTTGCAACATTGCTACTTCTGGATAGTCATATGATGACGATAATCATAGCCAAGCCAATACAGAAAAGCAGAGCAAAGTCATGAGTTTGTAGATCACTCGTGTGATATTTGGCATGATAATATAAGATTTACCATATAAGACAGGTATATATAGCACTGTGCCGTAGGAGTGGCTACTCCATTTGGTCATAATCAACTACCCATCCACATTGAAGATATTACCCCACTCTTTTCTACTATCAATTCCTTCCGGAATCTTTCTTTTCGCTTTGTCTAAGACAAACTCAGTGGCGCAAACCTATTCCAACGACGGCTGTGATTATGAGATAGAGCTTTTAGAGGCTAAGCTCACAGCAAATCCTCCATATTTTGGTTTATCTTCCTGCAACCTGGAGTAAGTTTGATTCTGGATGTCCTGCCACTATTCAAATAGTAACCATGTATGGCATTGATGATGAGGATGATCTGCTGAAAATGAATTGTCAAATTTTCATTGACCAACCCCTCAATAACACATGTACTGCTTTGATGGGAGGACGGATCTATAGAGATGGAGTATGGCAGCAGATCTTGAGTCAGAGGCAACAGCCACCTTGCGATTTTATGAACGAATACTCGGCTGTTAGCGCTGAACTGGCCCAGTATGGGAATTTCCCAACCAAATGTTCCATTCAGCCCGGGAAAGTGGAGATCCGTCGCTACTACCCTGGCGAATGTCTCTTGACAAAAAGTTTCCCTAAAGGCAAATTCAAGTTTAGTCTCAATATCGAATGTGAGTATGACAATGAAATCATGACAATACTTGAGGCGGAACTAGAAGAGGAGGTTAAATAAAACATGAATGGATCATATTCCCCCGGCTATTGATAGAATAGACGCTATATATATATTCAATATATATATTGGAACAGTGGCCAGCACGTCGAGGGAATATCTATAGTTACGCGAGCCTGTCATATGGGTATACACAACGTACATGCGTGTCGCATGATGGAAACTTGAAATGTTAAGTCGAGATATGGGGCATACATTTTGCGGACTACGGAAGTCGTCAAGGAGAACACGCGTGCGTTATGTTATAGCGACCAAATCTGATACTTCCACCACTCATTAAGAGCTAGAACCATACCAAGATGTGGACTATTCACCAATCGCTCACGCTGGGCCACTGGCGAGCAACCCATAATGAATATGGAGTACCTGCACTAGTGTCTTAAGTCGGTTGGGGCTACATCTTACATGCGCATGGAACAGACCACTGCTGAAAGATATAACAGTGACATAGCCTTGAAGTTGTGTTGAATCAGCGCTCAGGGAGGCGATATATTACACATCACCGACTGGTGCATCATCAATATGTGTGTTTGCAACGCCAGTGAGCATGTACCCCGTAGTAATAGTAGTGCTGTGGGGTACAGGGCATTTGAGCTCCCTATCGAGTGTGAAATCAGTCTGCCCATAAATCGAGAGACCCGGGCTGTGTAGTTTGTAACTCGGTCGAATACTGGAGATAGCAGTACTGATAATAGCGTTAGGTACAAACATCATTGAAGACCTATGGGACGCCGAGGTAGAAAAGACATAAATGTCTACTTATGGAGCTTTCTTTGGGGGAGGTTGTAGGTGTACCAAAAAGTAACTAACACATCCCGGACACTAGACGGACTGTCCATATCGGCCACTGAGGCCCTTCTTTATTTTCCAGGTGCCATAGCGCCAGCGCTGCAAACCAGATAACCAATTAGACAATATGTCCACAAGCCAAATGATGAACCAAAAATAACATATTGTGTTTGTCCCGAGGATAGACGGAGGGAGATGTCTCAACATAATATTGACTCACTCAGATATTGTCCATTTTAGACGCCAACAGTCAATGTCCCACATCAGGTCTTATTGCGCAATCCGAACCCAATCACACAATATACAATCGAGTCAACGCGCAAAGTCCGTCCCAGATCAATGTCTCAATTATCGTGCCAAGCAGCAATCCCAGCAGTCCCTCCACGGCTAAACTTAGAACCAGGTAAATAAAACCTAAAAGCGGGGTAATAAGCCACCTCCAACAAGAGACCCTGGGGCAAGGAACAAACGACTCCATTTTCCTCGGGAAATGCAACAGCAAAGTAAGCCTCACATAGCATGTGAAAGCTTCATTTCCAATTAATTAAGCAATCAGACCACTGCGTTAGCTAAAATTACCAATGACCAGCTGACCTGCACGAGCTCCACGGCCCAGAACCAGCTTAGTGCTGACCGAGACGGGTAGATAAGCGGCCTGAGCGACACGCTAATGTGTGCCTATTATGTATCCTGACATATTGGTCGGACTGGTTGGGTTCGGAGATTGCCAAGTTAATTTAAGCTGTGGTTGCATTGGGGGTCTGATCTTACGATAAATTGTTACCGAGGGAAGATGGAAATGGAAGGGGGCGGAGCTGTTATCGTACAACATCACATTCAACATAGTAATAATCATAAGAAATGCCATCGTAGCACATCACATCACAATCTACCCTCCACTCTATAATATAATCTGAGTAAGATAAGAGATCAACACCTCCCCACCCCAGCCACCAAATCCCCCGCAACCACATCCACCCCCGCTGTATCCGCATCCTCTATCCCAAACGCCAAGAACATCACATCATCAAGATACCCATGATACTTCTGCCCAGCAGTTTTCCACCCGATTGACGTCACATACATCATCTCCGTCTGATTCCCTTCGTCCATCATCCCCCG